CAAGTCATAAATATCTATGGACTGAAAAATCATAGCATCAAGACTACCAAAACAAAAATGACAGGAACTACACAGTGAAACTTGTTACAGTATGAGACTAATTTACCTCTCTAAGTCCAAGTCACATCAAACAGACCAAAATAAATATGGACAGAGAAGACCTAAATAATGTAACTAATAAAGTAGATCTAATTAAAAGTTATTAAACTCTACACCTTAAACAGACAACAGTCCATCTTTTTAAATGCTCCAAGAATACTCACAAAAACTGCCAATGTACGAGGACACAAAAAAAAATTAATAAATATCACTTTTGGGTGGAAATAGTACAGACAATGCTTTTTGATCACAAGGCAATGCAACTCAACACTGATGAGTAAAATGAAAACAAACAAAAAGTTTCAAGATCTCCTTCTCAAATAATTCTCGGGCCAAAGAGAAAATTAAAACCAAAATTGCAGAATTTATATATAAAAACTTACGTATGATGATAGCACTACACACCAGAACCTATGGGATACAGCTAGAACAGTATTCAGAGGAAAGTTCACAGCTTTAAAATATTACAGTAAAGAATGAAAACAAATGCATTCAAGAAGAGGCAACAACAAAATAAACCAAAGGAAGGAATAAAGGTAAAAGCAGAAATTGACAAACTGTAAAACACAATACAAGAGCTAGTAAGTAAATCTGAGAGCTCACTCTTCAGGGGGAAAAATATAAAAATACAACAGCAAACAATTAGAAGGAAAAAATGGGGGCTAGGGAGTGGAGAAAGCATAAATACTATGTAGCCATTAAAAAGAATAACTATATGCATTGATACAATCTGAGATATAATATTAAATGAAAAAAGTAAGGAACAGCTATTATTTGTGCTTAAAAAACAGAAAGGCCATAGATGCACATGTTCATGTTGATGCACAGAAGATATCAGCAGAACAGTCAAAAATGGTGCTGGGGCCCCATCCTGGGGGAGGAGCTGTGTCATGACAAAAGTGGAATACTGACTTACATTTTATTTATAAATTTTAAAAAATTATTTTAAAAAACTGTAAACTTTTTAAATTTTGTAGCATTAGCAAGAGTCATCTATGAAAAAACTGATTGTTAAAATAAATGTTAATTGTTTAGAGTCTCTAAACTACTTAGAAGAACTCTGGATACTTCTTTTGTTATTACTGGGAGTTAAGGGTTCAATCTACAGCCTTTAAAAAAAGATCCAACTTTTATTATCGACAGGTAGGATTCTTTTATATTTGTAAAACGCTCTCCATTCTTCAGAGCCCTTGAACATACACTGTCTCATCTGATCCTTGTAACAACGGTGTGAAGAAGCCAGGCAGTGCTGTCAATCCTCATTACAGGTGAGGACCCTGAGGCTCAGAGACTCTGGGTGACATACAAAGCCACTTGGCTGCTAAGTGCTTCTTCCACCTATTCAAACTGGTCCAGGCTCCTCAAATCTAGGATACCTAGGATTCTGTATGTACCTTTTGGGTTGTATCAGGTGATTTCACGAATAGATAAAATGGCACCTCTGTTACATGCCAGGAACAAAGGAACTTCAAAAAAACCTCAGTTAGATCTGCTTCATCATAAGAAAGGATGAATGATAGGCATTTGTCCCTCTCATAGGCTGAACTGCATCCTCTCAAAATTTCTATGTTGAAGTTCTAACCCCCCACTACCTCAGAATGTAACTGTATTTGGAGATAGGGTCAATTAAGTTAAAATGAAGTCATATAGGTGGGCCCTAATCTAATACGACTGGCGTCCTTTTCAGAGGCGATTAGGACATAGACATACACAGAGAGAAGACCACATGAAGACAAAGAGAGAAGACAGCCATCTACAAGCCAAGGAGAGAGGCCTTGGAGGAAACCAACCCTGCTGGCACTTGATCTCAGAATTCCAGCCTCCAGAACCGGGAGGAAATAAACTTGTGTTGTTTAAGCCCCGTCTTCTGTGGTACTTGGTCATGGCAGCTCTAGCTGACTCATGTGCCCTTCAGCCTTACGAATCTAAAAAGTACTTTCTCCACTGTCTCATGGATCATCTATAAGGGTCAATCAGAGAGTGATTCAGCTGGCTGCACCAACATTTTCAGAAAAGCAACTACGTGGTCAAGAAAATGTGACTCAGAGGTGCCTTTTCCCAGATGTTGAGTTTTCTTTTCAAAGAAATGAATTCTAATCTGTTAGAGTGAAAAGCCTGTTGACTTTCGCTAATCCTCCTGGTGTTAGAGTTCTGAATGATGCATTGATGTTTGATGCCTGCACATTTAAAAAGCTGACAGTCTGACAGCTTGTTCTCCTAAAAGGACCGAGCATATGCAGAAATAATGTCAAAAAGATATTTAACTGGGATGAAAATCAAAATACAGATTTCCTTATGTCTTTCCATAGAGGTGACCTGAGCTAGTGGTAGGACTGAAATCCAGGAGTGATGTTCCGCCACCGTCTGAACTTGGGTGACTGACCCCACCCTGGAGACCAGAGGAATGAAGGAACAGCGTTTTCAAACTTGATATGGAACGCCGTACCTAGGGTGGCACTCAGCCTCGCCCAGCAATTCACCTTCCGCCCTCCACTGACCAGCTCTGTGACCTTAGACGAGACCTTGACCCGCTCTCCTCATCCATCAAGTGGGATAGAAAAGAACCACGTGAGGATTAAGTGAAATCATACACACTAGAACTACGTCAACTATGTAAAATAAAGTATAAAGAACTACAGAAATGTAACTTACCATTAATATTGTTAAATTAGGTGCAAGATTATTGGACCAGGAATCATAAGATTTCTAATTCTATGACCTACGTGCTTTTCTGTACGTACATGACACTTGAATTAAAACATTTACTGAAAGAACAGATTTTAAATTCTGTGTGTGCTACAAACTAGTGTAACACTAGTTATATACATAGGGCCACCTTCCTTCTAAGGTGTCTTAGTTTCCTCATCTGTAAAATGAGGGTGCTGAATTATATTATGTTATCTGCACCTATCTAAAATTCTGTGATCTATTTCTCATTCCTCGATGTCTTGATAATATACGATGATAACATATTTTTAAAATGGAGACTTTGAGACGTAGGTGGGGACACATCTCTTTGATGTGAAATGCCTGAGGTCAAAGAACAAAAGAGTCTGCAAGATTCCTGGCTGTTGTGTGACTAGATGATACAGGGAATCCCAAACGACTGATCAGGTCTTATGAGGTAAGCTTTGACTGGGAGACACTCTAGTAGACGAAAGCACTCTGTGAATTTCGGGCATTAAAAAAATATAGCGCTCCAAGGGTAGCCTCTTACATTCACATACAGTATAAGTACTTATGAAAAGTTCAGAATGCAGACTTCATTGTCCCTAAACCTAGGATTGAACTCCAAACTCTGCTAATTATTCAGCTAGCTATGTAGCCCTGGGCAATTTCCTTCTCCTCTCGAAGTCTCAGCCTCTTAAACAGGTATAACAATAAGAGAACCTTTTATCACAGCACAATGCACAGCACGTAAGTGTCAGAGCTTCCTCTTCCTAATCTTCGTAATTGCTCAACATACAAACTGAGCATCTCTGCTCTTCTCAATTCTTTGGTTTATACTGCCGATGACTAGGGAGCATGTCTAACACGTTTGTTAGTACCTAGAATAATACGTGCGCGCACACACACACTTAATAAACAGTTTTGAGGATGGAAGCAGGATTCAAAGAAATATGCTACGAACAGTGGAAGGGACAGCTCTTCATTTCTAAGGAGGATCGAGATGAAACAGTGAAAGAAGGGAAGTTATAGGCTATATTTTAGATAAATCTTTCATATACAAGTATGTTAGATACTGGGACATGTTTTCTTATTTTGTCGTCTTTAAGATATTTTAAATATTACTCAAGTACTTTTATTCTACTTACAGTGAAAATCTGGGAAATGCAGAAAAATATGAAGAAGGAAAAACGCACCCGTAATTATAATGCCCAGAGATGAACAGTTCTGATGGGCAGCCTCAGCACATACAGTTGGAAGTCTCATTTCTCCCCAAGCCATGCATCTCAAGTGGCAAGAACATCAGACTTTCCTTCCCTTCCTCCATCCTTCCATCAATTCAACTCCCACCTTTTCCAGAAAGAATTACAGGTGGCTGTGTGACACTGGCTAAGTCCTTTAAACCAAACCTCAATTATCACATCTATAGAACAAGATACTACATCATCGCTGTTGTTGGAAAGATATCACATAACCTGAATGGTATTCATTGAGCATATACAGTGCTTAGGACTTTCGTACACATCATCTCTGTGAAAATGCTTTGTAACCCTTCCAGCACCATTCAGACTACAGCATTAAGGTATTATAAATTCTTGATTTGTCCTGATGACAATTTCATCTTCTAGAAGCTAGAGGAAGCATAAGGGGAACAACTGGACCTAATTCTAAACAAAAAGAACGAGGGAGAAACCTGGGAGAAAGTGACAGTATTGTATAGGAGTTTTCTTTACAAATTACGAAACAAAAACAATCTACACATTTCCCTGGTAGATCTTTCTAGACCCACTGAACAATATTCCACATTTTTTTCCTCAAAGTCTCAAATTTCCTGGATGGGCTTTGACAGCATTTGCATCTCAAATGTGCTGAGTACCAATTAGAATGAAAAGTAATGGGTCTGCAAAACATGAGTATTCTGAGCTATATCAGAATCTGAACCCGGAGTCCAAATGTGTGAAAAGGCCAATCTGAAATCTCTCTCCTTGCAGACACACCTGTGTGCACATGCGCGTGTGCACACGCCTGCGCCCCACCCCCACCACTTCTGCCGATTCTCAGCAGACCTGACTTCAACCTGGGACGTGTTGTTAAGACCCAGTCATGAAGCTTTGTCTCCGGAGACTTATAATTGAAAAGGGCACAGAGTGCTCGTTACCCTACCCCTGGTGCCAGATTGCGAGGAGTGAACCGGTGAGACAAACGTTAATTACAACTCCTTGGGGCCCGCTCACCTGTTTTGCTGTTTCAGTGAGCGCAGCAGCTTCTGCCTTGCCCAGTTGTTGCACCATCTTGTAAAATAGGCTATCTCTATTTTGCAGCAAAACATACGGCTCATCATATTCTTTCAGCCTTCCTGAATCCAAAACCTGTTAATCAGCAGAAAGAAACCCATTAGCACACAATGTTTTGCAGCAACATATTATAACTGAGACAATATTTCGGAAAGGGGCAGGCGAGGGAGAATAGAGAGAATCTATTTGGGTGGTAGGCCTGGCTGGTGTTTAAATGGTTTGATTACCCTGTTTTCCTAGGCAGACAAAGGCCTAACCCGACCTTTTATTATTATAATGTTATAGGAAAGGAAGAAAATGAAAGTTTTAGACTATGATTATGGGCACTCAGCAGTCCCATGGCATTTTATATGTGCCAAGGGCATTTGGGGTTGTTATCATTAGTTAGTGCTTTTAGCTCTCAAGACTCTGAGCTTTGAGGGCTATTTATACGTACATTCAGAGTTGGGAAATTTCTTGGTTTAAGAAAATCAAACTCAATTTATCTAAAAAGTAGAGTGATGGCGTACAAACCAGACGGCAGTGACCGGACAGCAAATTCATTGCCGAGCTGGTCTGATGGAATCTGAGCAATGTTGGGAAAAGAAGTAAATGCTTCTGGAATCTCCTTAGGGTCCTGGAATATGTCAGCTGGTAAGAGGGGACAAAACTCTTGTCCGTGAGGTTAAGGTGCTCTTAAAGTTGGCTTTGATTGTAGTTTATTATTCTGAGAGTGAAAGGCTGGCTAAGAGAGCTGCTACCTAAGCAGCTTTAGCATAATTGCTCTGCACAGAAGAAATCTCTAGAAATCCGATTTTCTTTTTGGATAAGACTAAAGAAGCAATTGAGAAATCGAGCTCCCAATTCCAGTGATCACGGAACGCAGAGCACACAGGGGCAGCCGGATCTGAATCGCCAAGGATCTGAATATCTGTTTTCACAATTATCTTTCCCTGCTGCTTCTCTTTCTTCAGCTGCCTGCCTTTCAGCCATTTTATTGCTCATTAACATGTCCACTGGAAATTGAAAAGGAGAGGAAGGGCTCTTAACTCTGCATTTCTACTTATTAGTGGCTTTCGTTAATTGTTTCAGAGGGAAGAGAGTCTGAAAGAATTGGCCCAAACGACATATCTAGGAAAACAGTTCTGATGTTAAGTGGTACTTAGTTCTTCATTTAGGCTGTATTTAGAGTAAATTTATCTTAAGAGAATATGCTGAAAGTCTAAGCAGGACACAGGTTGTTTTTTCATATCGAGGTAATGCAGTTAATTCTGTCCCATGGTATCTAATCGGAAGCATTTATTAAGTCTCATAAAGGGCATTTTCCTGTTAATCTTTTGTTTACTACTGTGAATCACTGCTAAGGGCAGCTTTCTCAAAAGAGTTCACGAATAATTGAATCTGTCACATCCACATAATAATTAAAATGTCCTATAATTTGGCATGCCAATTTAGATGCCCCGAATGTGTAATTTTAGTTAAGCATAGCATTATAGGGCATAACCACTCCTCCTGACGTTGAAAAAGAAAAATGCAATTTTAAAATACAGGTCTCTCACATGCTAAAGACTAAGTAAATAAGTGAATCAAATTACTTCATACAATGAAGAACTTTATATTCTGCAAAAGCAACCAGTAAACCTTCAAAAATCATCACTTTGAAGTTGACGGAAAATGAGTTATCTGACTATAAAGACTTTACATAATTTTTAATGGCAGGAAAGTATTACTAGCATTTTGTCCTTGCCCAACTTTCTACTTTATTTATTAGAATTTGAGTAAATAGTAAATCTTTTCATTTTCTCTCATATTGTCTTAAAACACATGAATGCAAGAGATGAGTAGTTCTCAGAATCAACCAGTATCTAAAAAGGCAAAGCCAGAAAAAAAATCAATATTCTCAAAAAGCAATAGGATTAACAACACAAATGACATAAAGATCATTTTGCTCAAAATATTTTGAGCCTTATAAGTATTAGCAGCTTAATGGCTGTGCACTATATTTTACAGGAGGAGTTTTCAATATTTGGGGGGGGCGGTGACAGAACTGTGATAATTTATTAGAAGTTAAATTTTAACTTCTGTAAGATAACACTTTAAAAATGTAAACTAAATACACCTCTTTAACACTCTTTTGATATGCATTAAAACAAAAATACAGTTATCTTAAAATGAACTGCATTAGTATAGCCCCAAAGGGATGAATTCACAAGGTTTGAGAGAGTGGGTGCCCTGGCATATGAATGCAGTGTAACAACGAATATGCCTACTTTAAGATCAATAAAATCACTCCATAACAAGCAGTTTCTCGAATTTGAAAAGGAAAACAAAAGTAGCTATGGGTTGAGCATTCACTGTGCCGCATACTTTAGTCATCACTGTTAATTCTCAAGACAGAGTAGACAAATATAGTACATAATTTCCATCCACCCACCCATCCATTCATCCACCCACCCCCCATCCATTCATCATCCATCCATCTACCCATCCATCCATCCACCCACCCACTTTTCATCCTTTCACTCATTTATCATTCCTTCTGTCCTCCCACCCATTCAGCCATCAAGTATTAAGTGTGTACCTATTACCAAAGCACTGTTCTAGGAACAAGAGATTCAAAGATGAGCAAGACACACTGTGTCAAGAAGCTCACAGCCAGAGATGAAAACCGAAGTGCAGTTAAGTTAAATAACTTGGCTGAGGCTGCAGAATCAGTAGATGGCAGAGTGGGGATTTGAACCCAGGTCTGAACCTGTATTTTTTTTCTCTCCATCTGAGTTCCCAGAGAAAGACACTGTCAGATCATCTATTATCAGAAGTGAAATAAGGGAGATGGGAATTTTAACCTTCAATTTTGTAAGATACCTTCTCATTGGATAGCATCTTATATAAACTTTGTATAAGTTAACAAAATATGTCTATAAACATACACATTTCCCCTGTCCACTTTCCACTGCAATTTTATAATACTTGGGGATCAAATTATTTACTGTGTGCCTGGTATACACTCACAGAAAGCCAATTTCATTAAACTATCAGGATTTATAAAGAGCAAGTAATACATGGCCAAAGCACATTTGAGGAAAATTTAAGTAAACTTTCATTAATTCCTGAATTTATTCAGCAAACATTTATTGCATACTTAACTGCATTCATGTCATTATGCTAGATGCTGTGGAAGAGGCAAAGATATGTAAGTTACAGCCCCTGCCTTTAGGGAGCCTATATTGAAAAAAAGAGAGAAGAAAATCCTCAAGTGAATATAATGCAAGAAAAAAAGCAAAACAAGAAAGAGGCTAACAGCAGAAAAAATGACTTTTGGCCAGAGGTTCTGAGAACGAGCTTCAAGAAGGAGAGAGAGCAGTGAACTGGGCTTGAAGAATGGATAGACTTGGACATGCAAAAATGGTGGTGGGGTAGGTGGACACGTCATCATTCCAGACACAGGGAACAGCATGGGCCAAGAGGGCTGGAGGTGGGCCTGTCAACTCCTTAAGAGCAAGGTTATGTGGTTTCCATTGTTCACTGTAGCATCTCCAGGCCCTGGTATTGTACATGACAAGAAACAGGCACACAATACATGCTGGTTGAAAGTTAAATATGAAGGAAAGTAAATTCAGGGCATGAGTGGGTGACCGCTCAGTGGTGTAGTGTGGCATGACTACAGGGTGAGATCAAGAGGGGAAAGAGTCTAGCTGGCGGCGGGAAACGCTAAGGCAGTGGGATGCAGGATTATAGAATTAGGGATATAGATTTGGAGGACCACATGCCTCCAGTTGATGGCTATGGGCAAGAGGGGGAGAAAAAGTGAGGGAGAGAGAGATCAGGGTTGAGGACGGAGGCTTGAAACTCATCATGATCAAATATTGGAAAAGAGAAAGAAGAGAAGGGACGGTCAGAGAGGAGGGAGGGCTGAGGGGAGCAAGAGTGCAGTGCCGCCGAGACTAAGGCCAGGAGCTAGAAGAGCTGCGCTGGGATACAGGCTGGAACAAGGCCAGAAAGAGAATTTTACCTGCTTAGCCTCTACATTTACCGGTTTCATCCAAGATTCCAGAACTTTTCCAACAAGTAAACATAAAGCAACTTCAAATTTTCTTTTTGTACAGAAAAACAGGTATAATTTTGAATTTTTATTTTTAACATCCTTTATATCCCTAAGCTGCTCCTGAAATATCCCGCTGCGTCCCAACTCTTCCTGTAACCCAAATTAAACTATAAACTAAACCACACATTCAAGTCAGTGTGATGGCAATCCCTGGGCCCAGGATCTCTCCAGGAACGGCAACCTCAAATCACTTGCAACTCTCTAGTAGGTTAAGTAAAAATACATTATATTGGATGAGTCAGTCAGTTACATAAGCTCAATGAAGATGTGTTTATCGGGCCTGTGCATCAGCAGATATTCCAGGTAGCTGTCCTAGATATAAAAATTAAATGAACCCATTGCAAAATAATTTAATCCATTTTAATTGGCAGGATGCCATCAGTGATAGTGGGGTGGCTACAGGGAGAGGTGAGGGGCAGGGCAGAGGAAAGGCCTGACGACAGGAAGAGATGCCCAGAACGGCTTTCAGCATGGCGACAAGGAATAAAGGGAGATACCACTTGGTGACAAGTCGAGTGGGGAGGGAAGGATCTGAGATTCAGACGTCTGCTTTTGGCTGCCAGGTGACGAAGGGGCACAGGGACAGCTATACCCATCCTCGGAAGTTGGGTCCCTCGTTGGTAAAATGGGTGCCTGTGATTTTCTCTGTGACAAGATACTGTGGCAAGTATTACTCAAAATCCTTCCTTAGGTCTTGAAACGGTAAAGGATTCTTCTCACCCGGGGGAGATAAAGGCTGGGTCACGGTGACCTCCACAGCCGCTCCCCAAAGCTCCTGGGATTGCTTGTGTCCCTCCCCTCATAAAGTGCTTCTTCCCCCAGTTTATGCTTTCTACCTTCAGATTAGTTATCTTTCCCTTTGAAAACGTGAATGAAATCTCTTGGCCTATTTCTAAAGGAGCTTTTCTCTTCTGAAATATTCTAATTGTGGCCATGTAGTCTTATTCAAGAAAAGTTGCATGAAGATGAAAAACAGAATTTCAATAAAACTCGAGTTAGCTTTGAGTTGTTTTGGTGCTTTTCCAGGCGGGTATGTTACAACAGCTTCTAGTTTTGATTTCTCTGGGAAAAAATCTACTGAAAAGGGGTTTGCATGTAGGGAGAAAGGCAAAGATGATACAACCATAAGATTGCCTATAAACAGAAGAGGTGGCATCTGAGTTTAGCCTTGGTTTTAGTTCTCCATAATTCATTCCCAAAGAATTCTCTAACTGCTGACAGTGAAAACGTTGAATACAGGCAACAATATTGTTAGAACAGCTGCAGATTTTCATATTCTCCTTTTGCTCATGCTACCAAGGAGAATGTGGGGGGTGCTGTAAGGACTGGGGTGTGCAGGGATTGGAGGAAAAAGCTGTGCTATTGGCTGAAGAGAAAACAGGTCACGAGTAACCAGCTAATCCTAAAAACTATAAGGAAGAAGCTGTCTTTAATGTAGAGATAGTGGTGAGTATTAGGAGAAAGAGGATTTCTAATTTGTCTGTCTTGCTCCACTGTTTTGTGGCAATTGAGCAAATGAGGAAGATTAAATTAGCTGTCATTATGACTACATCATGTTTAATAAAGTTAAAATTGAGAGAACATCTTTGTAAAATAGAATTCTAAGCCTAACACATTAATGGCGCTTAATGAACCAAAACTGGGTAAATCCCTTTGGAGAGCCAACACATAAACAAAGCTATTAATTAGGTCACAGTTGTTTCCCAACAAGCCTTTTGTCTGATTTACTTACAGTAAACAAAACCATATCCATCCGTCTTTGTGCAGAAGTATTCACCAGTGCAACAAAATGTAATTATTACACCTTAAGCACTTGCAATTACACGACTTTATGATGACAACACTGTTGGTTATGCCCTTCATTAGCATCCGTCACTTCCCCAGCCACTCCCCGAGGCTGGCCGCCTGCCCTCTGGAGCATTAGGCTTTGCAGCTGATTGACTTGTCTTTATGTCCTTAAAGCTTTCAAAATAACAGAACAGACAATCGCTTGCTTTCTGGAAAGGAAATAGATATTTCTAAAGCAAGCAAGAAAAGAAAAATTATTCCAAAAATCAAAGGTTTGAGAAAGAACATTATTTATGGTGTTCTGTCGAATTGAAAGCCAACTGGTAACCAGAAGCTCTAGAATAAAATATAAGCCTTAGACCTGGAGTGGATGGAGTACAGAGCACAAGCACCCAACTCTGAAGCATGTCTCTTGGGTCCCCTGAGGTCTAATCCTGCCATTCCCTACCAAAGGAGTCAGCAACAGAAACCAGCTCTGACCAGGATGTAAACAAGTGGCCAAGTTGACATCTCCTGGTGGGACCTCCCTGTGACATCACTGATGAACTCTTGGTCAGGGAGCCCTAAATAAAAGGTCTCCCAAGACTGGAGTTGGGGGTGGGAAGGGCGGCTCCATGGCGAAATGCAAGGTCCACCACAGACGAGGTCAGCCATCACAGTGGTAACATGCTCTAAAGAGAACTCTCGCGTTTGCCTTCTCCCAACCAACTTCTCCCTCAGTCTTCCCCACTCACCCAGATGCTCAGGCCCCACACCTAGAAACCAGCATCAACTTCCCCTCTCGCCTCTCATATCCTACATTCAATCCACCACACAGCCCTCTTGGCTCTACTTCATTATCGACCCCAAATCCAACCATCTCACCACCTCCTGCGAGCACCTTAGTCTAAGCCACCAACATCTGGTCGAGAAAGAGGGCACAATTCTAAGAGTGAGAGTAAATACTGCATTTGAAGAACCAAAAGATGATCAGGGTAGTTTTAACTATAAAGGAAAGAGGGAGAGCAGAGTGGGACAAGGTTAGAAAGGGAGGGAGGGGCCAGGCTGTAAATTGCTTTGTAAAAACATGTTAAGGATTTGGACAAAGATACTGATCATGAGAGAAAAATGTGAGGTTCTTGAAATTTACCAAGAGATACTGGTAAGCAAACCACTAAACAATTGGACATATTTTGATAATGGCAACAAAGCTGACTGGTTAAGGGGATACAGATGTTCATGTCTGTGGGTTAAGTGCTGATGGATAAGATTTAGGAGGGACCAGCTGACAAGTCTGCCAAATTCTGTCCTTCTTGTTTCCCTGACTATACAATCCCAGGCGACAATATTTCTAAGTATTATATAATAAAAGGAAGCCACTACCATCAATGTTGTACTACCAAAAACCAAAAATAAATCCACATGGTACATTTAGGAGCAAAGATTTTACTTGAATGGGCCCCCAACTGAGCTGCAGATCAAGCCATCTTTCTGCTGCTGCATCGAAAGCCTGAAAGAGTACCTGAAACAGGTACACTTCACAGCATCATTCATTCACTGTGGAAGAAGGATGCTTCTTGGGACAGTATGTGAAAAACAATGCTGAGAGATATGAACAACTAAGTGACAGGTAAAACGTAGAACTTCCAATTACCATTCAAGAACACAAAATGAAGGACTAAGGAGGCTCAATGGTAAACAACGTTTCTGGAAGCTAAAAGTCACTGTCCTGCGATCTTGGAATGTCACATAGTCACTCACAAAGGCCTGCTGGAGTGGCCTGCCTCCTGCTGTGATGTTCTAGTCCAGACGACCAGCTGCACTGCTTAAAGCTTAAAACATGTTTTTGGTTAGGAAGGCCCCACTCCTGTTGTCTACCTCACCAGAGCTCATTCCTCTAGACGTCCGGCTCTGGGGAGTGACAAGGCCAAAGGCACTGCTTCAACGCTGACAGTCTGGTATCTTCTCAATGCCCCCACTGATGATCCCATCTGACAATGAATGTGAAGTAGGGTGGGAGGTAATATTCCAGAAAATGCCCAAGAAGTTAAGAGAGACAGCTGCATTATCACTGGACATGAGGAAGTTTAGATATTAATGACCATTTATTACTGATGTCTAACCTGTTTCGTATGGACCATAAAAATCTAGTTAACTCCATCTGTTGCCTCTCATGCACCATGCAGGTCCTTCTTTATCTACTTCCTTCTTCATCACTAATCAGAGCATCACTGGATACTGTAGTATCTAGTGACAACAGTTAGTGTCCACAAGATGGATGAAAATCTGTCCATTGCCACAGGCTGGGGGTTAGCCTGAAAATAACTTGCATTCTTTGGGCTTTTTTGCAGCCAAAGGTTTTTCCTTTGAGGGATGATTTCCTTTTCATTTTATAAAGCCCCATCCTAAGACTTACTGAAGCTGAGCAAGCAACAGAAGGAAAGGAGAAAGAGAAAGAGAAGAAAAACGGGGTGGGGGGGAGGGAAGAGGGGAGGGAAGGAGGGAGGAAGGAAATAAAGATAAGGAAGGATAGACTGAATTACTAAAGAAGAAAGAGCCAATCAAACCTGGAAGGAAGCTACTAAACACTAAATCCAGAGACCAAAGCTTGGAGCCTGCCCTATGTGCAGTGTCCAGATCTATTGTGAAGAGACTTGCTGGTTATTTACCTGCAGTCTCTCAGCCCAAATCTACCTGTCTTTCTACATTCTCATCCGTGATGCTTGGCTGGGCCACATTTCAGAGGCCCTTTGGCCAGTTGGCTCTTTGTTAGGTTCTGCCAGTAGGGGGCACTAGAAGGAGACTCAAGGTGGGGCACAAAGCAAGCGGTCTACCTGGTTTCTGCTACTTCTGCCATCATCACCCCAGTAGCAGGACCCGGCTCCAGCCTCCATCTTCTACTAGCACACTGAGAACCAGCCTCATTGTGCTCTCGCACAAATATAACCAGCAGCTGGGCAGTGGCCCCTCCTTGGAGGTCTGAGCAATGACTCTTTAGGGCCTCTCTGAGTTCCTAGGTCTGGAGATCTGTCCTAGGGCATGGTGGCTGCTTCCTAAAATTATTACCTCAGTGTTTCCTTTCACTCTTCCAGCCCTCCAATGCCTATGTAACAAATTTCCTATATTAAATCCTTTCCATTGAAATACTTTATTTTTCCAACTAGGCCCTTTCTCCTCATAGACTCCACTCTGACAGCACATCTTATGAACATCCCAACAGCTGGGAAATTCTGCAACCTTAACCAACAGCCTCCTAGCAGTCTAAATGAAAGGCTAATTTTTTGATTAAGGGAATCCAAAATGCTGACACAACTGTGACACGGCAAAAACGACTATGTTCTACCAGTCTGTAATAAGAAGACATATCTTGGGTTTGAAATATTTTCATAGTTGGCCAACTTAAAGAAAAACGACAATTCTAATAAAATTTTAATATGAAAATGTGAAATTACTGGATATATTATTTAATAGCACATTCTGAATGTGTAGTTCAGTACTTGAGTTGCTGTCAGGAATGAAAGGAAAACTTAGAAAATTAACTTACTGGAGGTTTCTAATAAGTTTAACAAGAAAAGATAAACTGAAAAATTGAACATAAGTGGAAATAACTGGAATTCCAGAGGTGAAAGTCTTACCATAATCTTGTCACTGTCAATAATGGTGTTCAACCTGTGTGCAATGGTTAGCACAGTGCACTGGGCAAATTTCTCACGGATTGTTTTTTGTATTAACTCATCAGTTCTGGAATCAAAGAAGTCGAATTAGTTCAGGAAAGACAGACTTAAGACTTTAAAAGATCATATGATAGTTTTATAATGTTTTTAAACATTTTATTTATTTATTTTTTCCCCCCAAAGCCTCAGTAGATAGTTGTATGTCATAGCTGCACATCCTTCCAGTTGCTGTATGTGGGACTCGGCCTCAGGATGGACGGAGAAGTGGTGCCTCGGTGCGCGCCCGGGATCCGAACCCGGGCCACCAGCATCGGAGCACGCGCACTTAACCACCAAGCCACGGGGCCGGCCCTATAATGTTTTTAAAAATCAATATTTTAAGCATGATTTTGTTGTCTAAAAACTAAATATAAAAAGTCTATTTAGAAAAATTATTTTTCACAATACGATGGAAAATACTCTTCCCTCCAAATTGCTTGAAACTATCAGGAGTTAATTTAGGAATCTAGCTCTCTTAGGATGCCTGATAATATCATTAACTCCATATAATATGTTTTAGTTTCTACTTCTGATTTCCAGAATTAAAGCGATTATCAACAGATACCTTTTGGGCAAAGAGAACACTTAGAAAAATTTCTGGGCCGGCCCCATGGCTTAGCGGTTAAGTGCGCACGCTCCGCTACTGGCAGCTCGGGTTCAGATCCCGGGTGTGCACCGACGCACCGCTTGTCCGGCCATGCTGAGGCCGCATCCCACATACAGTAACTAGCAGGATGTGCAACTATGACATACAACTGTCTACTGGGGCTTTGAGGAAAAAAAGGAGGAGGATTGGCAATAGATGTTACCTCAGGGCTGATCTTCCTTACAAAAAAAAAAAAAAAGAAAAATTTCTCAGCATCATTAAATGTTTCCCATTCACCACATTAAAAACTCAGATTCCAGGTTACATGGATCTCAGCTCTGTACCTTGGATCCACATTTGCTGTTGCTTCATCAATTATCAATATCCGATTTTTCCTGAGAATAGCCCTGGCAAGGCAGACCAATTGTCTCTGTCCAACACTGAAGTTCGATCCTGCTTCTGCTAATTCAGTATCCATTTTACCAGGAAGATCTTCGATGGCTTCTTTAAGTTGTACCTGTGGATGTAGAAAGAAAAGTGACATTTTCCTAAAAAAACTACTACTGAAGCAGAGAAGCCTCCTAGAGGCTACAAACATTTGAGTTTGAAGTCCTCAGGACTTCTCATGTATCTTATGTGTACGGCCACGTGATGAGGAGAGTTACTTCCAATTAATGTTCACTGAGAAAGACGGTTGAGTCAACTCAGGACAGAATACTCTGACTTAAGAGCACAAACTTCATGGGAGTCAAGATTCTTCACTGTTGCCATCAGTAGGCACAGTCTGTCCATACTATGCCAGTTTCATTAAGAAATATATACTATGCTAAATAAAATTGTTCTCAAGGCAAAATATAGAAAACTAAAAATGTTTCTCTTAATTTTTAGTTAAAAGGTAACTGCATGAATTTATAGACACAAAAAGCAGAACAGTGGTTGCCCAAGGGCTGGAGGGTTAATTGTAAATGGACATGAGGGAATTTTGGGGATGAAAGTGATCTTCTAAAACTGGATTGTCATGATGACTGTATAACTATAAATTTACCAAAATCACTGAATCACACTTATAATGGGGGAATTTTCTAGTATGTAAATTATACTTCAAGAAAGCTGGTAAAAAGAAATCATCTTAGTGTCCCCCATCCTTGTCATACAACTTCCATCAGGAACCCTTTTCCAGGGATTAGTTAAGAAGTCTCTCAAAAAATGAAGCTACTTCTCCCAACGTAGTCTAAACAGAAAAGTTAAAAAGATCTTTATGGTTGAGTCAAGTTGCCCAAAGTACATTTTGCATAGGAGCTAGTACACTAAAGGGAAAATCTTTTAAAGAATTACTGGAGGAGGTATGTTTCTCTAAAGATACAATCTGATCAGCACTTTACCATCTTGAAAGGTTTTTAAGGTTTAAAAAAAATACAAATTCACACCTTTGCAAATTGCACCTCATATGTTAGTAAACTTACTGCCTATTTTGGGAATGGTTCTTTCCCAAATTTAACCCCATAGTGTTAGACTAGTCAAGTGCATTTACTTCAATCTCATCAATGTTTTGCAGTGAATGAAAAACAGGGCACAACATAACATTTTATTTCCCCCAGACTATGGGAATAGATGGTGTTTATATTAATCTATCTTCATAAAATTGTAATTATAAATTTAAAAAACAAACAACTACGAAAGACAATCTAAAACCATAATGGGTAGTAGCTCAGTTCAATAAATACTTGTGTTGGAGGAATTTTATAGAGGAATAACCAAACTCAGGCTGTACTTGAGAGTTATAGAAGGACAGAGAGTAAATACACTTCACATTATGAAATCAACAGAGGCCGGCCTGGTGGCTTAGCGGTTAGGTGCGTGCGCTGGGCTACTGGAGGCCTGGGTTCAGATCCCGGGCGCGCACCGACGCACCAGTTGTCTGGCCATATTGAGGCCGCGTCCCACATACAGCAACTAGAAGGATGTGCAACCATGACATACAACTATCTACTGGGGCTTTGGGGGGAAACACGGGGGGGGGGGGGGGGAAGGAGGAGGATTGGCAATAGATGTTAACTCAGGGCCGGTCTTCCTCAGCAAAAAGAGGAGAATTGGCATGGATGTTAGCTCAGGGCTGATCTTCCTCACAGAAAAAATAAAAAAAAGAGATCAACAGATTGATGAGTGATGGCCAAGTAAGCAGGGACAAAGAATTACAACGTCAAATAACAAAACACCAAAAGTAAGTGGACAACGTTTTCAGGGTGTCCTAAATCCTGAAGCACTTCTATGCATGTGATCTTGAATTGTGCTCATGATGGAAGTCTAATCCCAAGAAACAGGAATTCTGAGTTAGGGTTAAATATGGTATTGGTGTTTAGCTTTAGCATGACATACCATACTCTTAATTGTATATCCCAGTATTAAAGCTGTTTTGTTTTTTTTTTTTTTTAAATAGAAGCAACATACCGCTGATTCATTTTCAGAGTTTTATCTACTTGGATCTTTTGACCTTTTACTGATAAACTGCTTCATCTCTAGTCATGACTGATGTTATATTTATAGAGCTGCTTCTGCTTTGCAGGTGCCCCAATTGGCATTAATTTCTAATGCACTTTCTTCAGTTTACAGCTGACTAATTTTCAGTATATGAAAAAATAACCAAGATGAGATGGGCAACATCCATCGGACTGTCTCCCTTCTGAATATCTAACTCACCAAGGGAGAAAGGGGAGGCAAAACTAAGAGAACTTGTGAAAAACACACACACACACACACACACCAAAAGAAAAAACAAAAGCATCTTTGCCTATTAATTGAAGTTCTTAAAGAGGAAAAAATAGTGCCCTCTCACTGACTCTCAAGCCAATCCTATGAGTTCGGGTTTCCATTTCCAGTTTGGTATCATTTATAAACCAGCTGATTAGGGTTTTTAGTCCACCTAAAAACTGGTCTCACTGCTTTATATCTTTTTCAATGAAGGATCTGGCATATTTTCTAAAAATTAGGATACCAAACGTTTCACTGAAAAACATACAAAAGTCATAAAGAAATAATTCCTAGAGAAACACAATGATGGGATGATTTCTCACTCTGAGAGGAATCTTGAAAGCAACAAGGTCAATTCCAGGAGCGATATGCAGAAACCACTGACTTCACTTGGTGAAATAAATTCACATTTATTTCTATTTACAGAAAGTTACAAATGTAGTTTAAATAAAGGTAGATCTTGGTATCGTCTACCACTTCCTCCACCTCATCATTTTTAGAATTGAGAGGCTACTAAATTTTATTTTAATTTTGGCTCCTACAGATGAAATAAGTTATGGCCAAGTTCTAAGACAGTTTTTGATATAGAGCTGCTTCTGCTTTGCAGGTGCCCCAATTGGCATTAATTTCTAATGCACTTTCTTCAGTTTGTCTCTCAATTAACATTTCTTCACTGCCCCTGGAACAATGTATTTCTAGAGTAATTTTACTATCTGAGAATCTGTGGGAAGAGATCTCAAGCTCTAAAACAAATAGAAAAATAATTTACCAGTAATTCCTGTTTTTTTTAAGGTGAGTCACAATTTCGCCATTAAATGTGTCCTATGAGTTCAAGAGCAGTGGATCATCCTACCTTTCTTTATATTTGATGGTTAACTGGTCTCCTACCTCTTCTAAATTTCACTGTGGAAAGACTCACAAACTTAAATGAAATCAGAGGTCGACTGCTTTTCAAGGAAGAGAAGGTAAAGTAATCAGCCTGATTTAGGAAAATAAAGTCCCCACAGTTGCTGGAAAGCAGGGTGGGTGTGTAAGGACTCAGCGTCAACAGGCATTCAGAAACCAGAATTACTGGCAGGAAACTGTTGGGCCTCCCACTTGGCTTGCTCACAGTCAAAGCTCGTCTATAAATTAAAGCTTTCAGAGCTATCCTTGGAAGGATGACACTAAATGACAAACACGCCAATTTAAAACAACAACAACGTGTGGGTTACTGGGATGTGTGCCTTTTTTTTTAAAGAAATAAGCCACACTTCTCTGAAACGAAGAGATCCATCAAACATTCAGCATATGTTTGTTAAGTGCTTACTTTTTAAAAGCAAAAGACGGAGCTAGGTCCTATGAGGGATTACAAGTCTGTCTATGGTTTAAAGTCTAGATACGGTTTCTGCCACCCAGTAGCTTAGAATCAATTTGTTGAACTAGGGTGAATACACAAAATAATCAGTATTAAAATATACAAACCAACAGTACCTTAACAGTCAAAATCCTTTTCATGCGAGGGTGAAGAAATTCAAAGAAGTGGTCCAAAGGGAAGCACTACACAGATAATAAATAGCAAATCCTCTAGAAATCAATGTATTAGTATAAAAACTTACAAAAGCTCCAGGGTTCTGTTACCCGGCATTAAAATGACACGTTTGCCAATAAATAATTATCATTACATTCTAACTGTATAATTTACCTTTATAAACACTTTCTTATAACATTCAAAGCATTTTATAAGTATGATCTCATTTATCTTTCAGTTAATAATGAAAAACTATTATTTAGTTTTGTAATGACTCCATTTAGTGGGTGTTCCCTAAGAACAGAGAAGTAAAATCAATGTTGTAGGGTAACTGGTCACTAGCTGAATCTGAACCCATAAATATAACTTCTAGTTTAGAGTTCTGCTAAGGACAAGTAAAAAATGTATGTAGTTGCTTCAGATTCTAGGAAGAAAGTTAAAATGAAAACATGAGACATTTTATTTCTGGTTTTCATCATCATCAATAGGCACATTTTAAGTATATCCATGTCATCAATGTTCTCCTGGGTGGTGAAAAAAGTCAGTTAAACCACCAAGTTCCCCTTCATTACCTGCAATGCTATAAATGTAGATACACATATACTGATGCTAATAAGTTAAAGATAATTACATTTTATAAATTACCTCTTTTAAGGCATTCCACAGTTCCTCATCTGTATGTTCATTAAAGGGATCCAGATTTTTCCTCATTGTTCCAGTGAATAAAACAGGTTCCTAAATATCCCAAAATAGTGAATGTTATTACTATAGCCTCTTTTAATTTTATTACAATGCTAACTTTCAGAAGAGAATTAAAAAAATAATTCACTATAATTATTAATTAAAAGGCTGCAAATGCCTGTTTACAAACAATTATCTCTATTAATTTTCCATTGTTCAAAGTGCACTCCAAAATATCTTCGGGATCATTGAACATTAACAAAAGAAACTGTTGAAGTGTGTCATCTTAAGAAGAAAGTGAAGAAGAAAAAGGAAGATTTTTTTTTTTTGGGTGAGGAAGATCAGCCCTGAGCTAACCTCCATGCCAATCCCCCTCTTTTTTTTGCTGAGGAAGACCGGCCCTGGGCTAACATCCGTGCCCATCTTCCTCCAGTTTGTATGGGACACCACCACAGCATGGCTCGACCAGCGGTGCATTGGTGTGCGCCCGGGATCCGAACCCGCGAAACCTCGGGCTGCCGAAGCGGAGCACGCGCACTTAACCGCTGCGCCACAGGGCCGGCCCCAGGAAGATTTGATTTTTAAAAATGCCTTCCTGGAAATATCTGCTTACCCAGAAAAACAAGGATATAATTATTTGAGGAACGTTACATCAAGAGAGCTATATGAATTAATTGTCAATCTTGGTGTGATACTAGAAAACACCAATAGCATGACTGGTTGAAGTTTATGCCTCAAAGCAAAACTGTTAAATATTTGAACTGAAAAATAAACTAGGATATATTTTCCATTGGCAAAACAGTCTTCCAGGATTGGGAATCTCTCCACATGTGCGAATGAGACATCCTGTTTTTTTGTCCAAAGAGGATGTAAACTAATGGTGCCAGCGGCACCCCTATTCATGAAGAGATTGCCTCTGATTCTGCATCATCTAATCCCCATGTTATCTGGTATGTATCAGGATTACATGCCTCACAGAACCTCGTTATTAACTGCAAGGGAAGGATAACCTGAAACCCATTGTGACGTGCGTCATAATAAAACTATTTTAATTTAAATACCTCTTCCTATCCATCTGCTTTAAGAGGAGCCATAATTCAATTACTCTTGAAACACATGCCTCTCTCTCGGTTTCAAGAGAGAATCTTGTACATATGCTTATATAGGCCATTTAAGTTTTCTTCTGGAAAGTTCTAATAACCCAGGCCATAAGAATATGGGCAGCAGAGAAAAGCCCAATTGGCTACTTTCACTGGAGGTGGTAGAACAATGAGATGCAGAGAAGTGAGAACAAGAGGAGATTCGACTCTTCCACAAGTGCCTGAGAACTGCTCAAGGGAATCACCAGCCTCAAATCTCACCTGGTCTTAGGGACAGACTGTTCCTCCTCACTTCTAAAAAGCCTGGGAAGAAAGATTAAGAAGGTAGACTTTTCTCTAGTCATGAAGAAGAATGACACTTGAAGAGCTTCCCATACCTTCTTTCCCTATTGTCTCAGCTTAAAGACTGGTGAGGGAGAAATGGATGCAGAAGACAGATGGTGTGCCACTAAAAAACATGTATCCCTAAGCAAGATCCAAAATTAAAAAAACATTTAAAAGGGTGCTTTATTTGCACACAGCTAAGTGGCTGATATGCCTCAAAAGCACTGAAAAATCACTTGGTCATACGATGTTTCAAAATGATTACTGAACTGAACTGAATAATCCCAAGACCTAAATTCCTTAAAACTACTGAATTTAGGATCAAAGACTAAAGAACCATGTAAGCAATGGCAAGAGTTCCTTTTCAGGGGAATAACCATCATTCTACTTCAGATTAAAAAAAAAAGAAGAAGAAAAAGAAAAAATTTATCTTATTCTTTGTAATTATCTAAGATTCTAACAAGCTAGGCGATTTCTCTTCCTTTAATTGTTTGCATGAGGTCTATAGATATGATGTGGTCAGGCGAGGGGAGGCTGGTATCCATTACTCCTCACTCTGACTCTCCTCCCGCCTTCCCTCCAAGGCTGTAAACCATGCGCAGTATTTTACTCTGGGGCTCAAACTGACAGACTCCCTGAGGATTGGTGTTTGAGGAGATAAAGGAGCTGAAAGAGGAGAGGTTCAGGAATCATCTTTGAGTCCACCGGGGGAAGTGAGAGGTTGTCTCTGCTTATATTAATGACAGGACCGTTTCTTTGCCCATCAAGGCTTATATGACCTGAACATTTTTTTCCCTCAGGTTCCTCTCATGGAGCAAATTCACATTGGTTAGAAGCGTAGGGTTTGATAAAGTATCCACCTGGTTTTCAAAGTACAGTCTAGAGAGGTGTTATCTACGCTAATCTACATAAAAATTGCTTTGTTTTTAAAAGATGACCTTTTTTCCTTCCTTAAGCCCTGAAAGGGCTCACAGATTTAGCAAGTTGGGGAATGGTGGCTTTGCTGGTTCAAGAGAACAGAGATACACATTCGAAGTTCAATCACCTATTTCATAATCAGGGTCTCTTCTCTTTAGGAAACTTCTTGAAGTGGATGAATCCCTCCAAAGACTGAGGGACTAAAGTGGATTCTTTGCAGAAAGAGGAGTTGTTTACTTCTGAGCCCCCGAGCAACTCCTGCACCTGCTTTAAGCTGAGCGTTAAACAGAGGCCTCAGACACCCTGAAGGGGGTTCTGCTAATTATCACCAAATCACTGCGGACTGTCATCAACAGAAAAAAAAAGAAGTTTAAGCATTTCCTACGGCAATAAGCGTCCCCATTTAAATCTATACTGCCAATCTAAAAGGACATATTGGGCCATTACTCATGTTTACATAAGCAGTATTAGAAAGAAGAAAATAGTTTAGTAAATACAAATATTTCTCTGTTATGACATGCCAACTATATATTCCCAAATGAGTAAAATTTCAGTCTAAATTTGTTGAATGAAAAGAATGATTTATTAAAACATTAACTGACTGAAGCTATATTTTTCTTTAAAACCAGCAGGCAATTTGTTAATAATGTCTGTTTTAACGTGCCAATGTGTTTGATGCATGGTGTGCATTTTAGTTTCTACTCATTCTACTTTCATCCACTTGCCAAATAAAAAACCAGTATATTATCTACAAAAGGTAATAAAAATGCTCACAGTAGACACATACCGAAAGAGCAGATAAGGGTCAAATTAATTATCAATTGTGATAGATATTATTATTTAAAGTACCCACCTCTAAGCAATGAAGTTAATAAACTAATCTTACAAATAAGTGTCGTAAAAATGTTTGCAGGCAGAATATTTTGGTGTAGAGATTTATGGTAGCGCATACAACCTTCATGTAAATATACACTAAATTTATTAGCCTAAGTATATTTTTTCTTACGGTACACAATTAAACCCTATTTAATAAGAGTTAGCTGGACTGGCACAGTCAGAAAAACAAATGTTCTTGTTCAATGTAATATTTTAAATGAAGCATTAATTTCAAACCTGTTTTTCATCACGGTTTAAAGTTTATACATTTTTTTTTTATCCTTTGTGCCATATTCAGTAGTAATTATTCCTTTGTTACTAACATAACACAAGTTCATATTAGGTGTGTGACCCAAAAAGGGCCAGTCTGAATCAAAGCATTTAGTGTAGTAAATTGATAATCCCTCAACACAACGGCAAGACTGAAAACCACCGTCCTACTAGACCTTGTGTATACGCTGCTGGAAGACAAGCGTCTCATTATCCTAAGAAGAAACCCTACCCACTAACCTTCAGATACTCAACACGACCCAGGACGGAGACAAATACCATACAAGTGGTTACAAACGAGCCAGATAAAACAGACTTGACTTTATCCTCATCATTTCAGTCCCAAACCAGGAAACTGCCCTCTCGCACATACACCCTCCAGAGTAGCTGCTGCTCTGCTTCCTCGAGCCCTAAGAGCTACATTTTCATTTCTAACCTCAGAACTTTTATTAAGGGCAGCTCATCTCCCTTTTTCAAGGAGGGAATCACCTGAAGTCACTTTAAACCCTGGTTTTCCTTTTTTTTTTCCACCTAATCCTGTAGCCTCTGAATGAACCGATCATCATCAATATTCAGAAGAAAAGAACATTGTTCGCCAACAAAGGAAAAAGAATTTAAGTCGTGTAAAGTCCTCTTTCGATACAAAAAGGTCAGGAGAGCCGGGGAGTGGTCCCACCAGCTCTAATGAAGACTTCAGTGTCAGAAACAAAGGGCCAGTCGCATTAGGCTAGAATCCAGTTGTATTTCTTTACTAGTAACAGCATACCCACCTCTTCTCTCTTTGAGTTTTGTTCTCAACAAGAAAAAAAGGGAAAGAAAACCAGGTAATCAAGAAGTCTTAAAGAGATAGCTCTAGTTAATCTTTTTCAACCTCCTGAAGAAAACCCAGGGGATGGAAACACCAAAAGAGCAGAGTGCATTGTTTAAAAAATACCAAGGTTTTGCTTTGATTTAAAAAAATCTCTTAAACATAAAAAGCGAATCTGTTTAATCATGATAAAGATGACAGCTGTTGATCTGTGCCAGCCCTTGGAGTGCTATCATAAACACTGAATTTGCATGGAATCGCTCTTCAATTGAAAACATTCTCCTTGTGCCAATAGGACAGGGGCTCTGGGTGTAGAGAATCCATCCAAAGACGTTTTGAAATCCATTTTTCCAGATCCTTTCAGATAAGCAAGCTATTCTCTGAATATAATCTCATCTTGGTGTTCTCTTTGGGGAACATATTTAACTATTTTGGGTCGGGAACACAAAGGAAGCATACATTTCAGCTACCTGTTTAAGGAAATTATTTAGCAAGTGCTTTCATTTTTCGCTTATTCCTGAGATTCTGAACGCAAATTGAGGAGCATATTCTTAAGAATATAGTATTTGATTTTGAAGGTTCCCTCCAGGACTGGCCCCTGATTGCGTATGTCACCACCCCCCTGCCTCTGCTCCTATCCAGGTCCTTGCTGCTATCACATTTTCCCCAATTCTCACCAGCTCATGGTGGGGTCAAGAGCGACAGGGATGAGCCTGGAAGAGAGAGGGACTATCAGGAAAACTCACTGCTGCACCCAGGACCACAGTGAGCAGGGAGCCAGGGAAGATGATGCAGGCCTGGCTCACCGAATCCAGGAACCAAGGAAGCAGCACTGGGTCCCCCTTGACAGAGTCTGCTCTCAACTTCCTAGGTTCCCTAAATCAAGGTATTGAGACACAAGCAACACCACTTCCTAGGCATTTTAAGGGGAAGACATATATAAGCTTTCTACAGTACAGACAAGTAACTTCAAGTAACTAGGCCAACAGACTCCACCACTGCAGCCAGTTAGACATTGCGAAGAGAAAGGGCTCTTGGCTCCGGCAAGGTAAGATTCTGAGTACCTCCTCCTGATACTTACTAGCCCGTGACACATAAGTTAATAAACTCGTTTCTCAAGTGATTTTCTTTTAGAAACGTGCCTTGAGTTTTTTGGCAAAAGTCACAAACAATTTAGTCTTTCAAAACCACCAAACTGTCCAAAGGAGGGACACAGCACTAGGAGAAATATCTTCTGACTTCGCTCTACATTTATTCTTTTTTTTATGGTTCTCGGGACTCTTTTTTGAGGTGATAGAAAAAAGTGGGTAAAATATCTAAGGAGAATGTCACTTAGTTCAACAAACATTGCCTAAAAAATATATATATATTTGGAGTCAAGAAAGTCCTGAGTTCTGATTCCACTGCTTATTAGCTGTTTGACTCAGGGAAGTTCTTAATCTCCCTAAGCCTCAGTTTCCTTACTGGAAAATGGGGCTAACCTTGTAGGGCTGCTGTGAAAATCTGGAACATACACAAAGCTCCTGGCGTGGTGCTAACAGGTACCAGAAGCCCAGCCACACACGGAGGACAGTGAGGGGCAGTGTTTTTCAAACTGCAGGTGCAACCAATGGATCATGAAATTAATTTTGTGCCTCACGACCATCATTTTATCTTTTATATGAACTAGAATAAAATGGATATAATAGAAAATATCACAGTGCTGAGCACCAAGTAAGAGTAATATTGTTTTGTGAACTCTTTGTATTGGTGTGTGTGCGTGCACATGCTTGCACATGCATGCACAGAATCATACAAAGCAGTTCTCACTGTGGACCGCAGTCAGCAGCGTGTTCAGGTCCGCAGCAGAGCAGTCAGCTGCTCAAGATCTGCAGTTGGGAATCTCCCTGAAGTAAATTTGAACCCTGGCTCCACCGCTTACCTGGTAAGTGGGTTAAACTCACTATGCCTCAGTTTTTAAATCTATCAGATAAGGATAACAACAGAGTTGTTGAAAGGATTACGTGGGAGATAATAGGGAAAGAGACTAAAATGTATTAAGGATTCCACAAAGATTAGGAATTATTATTAACACTTGTGTCACTTGTCAGGAACTGCAACAAGTACTAGAGCAAGACAAATGAGAGACACAGCCCCTGTCCTCAAGGAGAGGTAAAAAAATTAGCCAGGAATGTGGGAAGGGCTGAGAAAAAATGCCAGGGCTCTTCGTGGCGGAATGCAACATGCAACGTACTGGTGGGATACAGAGCAGTGGTCAGGAAACAACCCTGGTAGGAGCAGAGACAGAAAAAACAAGTGATCTTCTCCCCTCCTGTTCCTTATGGGACAGAGCTGGATAGATTTCTCTGTTACGCTTTTCCCTAGAACTACTGTTGCACTCATTTTCTTTGCTTCACTCTTTAAATTTATGTAAACAATTTGGTTTATATTATAAGCAATAAACGAAAAGAAAATCGCCAAGGACCACAAAAGCATAAATAGAAATTACAGAGCAAAGTCCTTCCAGAATGTGTTGTTATTTTTAACTAAAGTAGTAATAATATCCAAAAGGCCAGTACTGCGATCCTTAATAATACCAGTTACTATTTACTGAGCATTCCTAAAAACCAAGCACGGGGCCACAAACATTTTCTTATCCAGGTAAATCTTCACAACAAATCTGTGAGGTGGTAATTACTAGCCCTGCAAGGACGAGCAAACTGAAGCTTGGAGGCTGAGTGACTTCATCAAGGTCACACGCTCACATGAGACAGAGCTAGAATAAAAATGTGGGTCGTGCTGACACTCCGTCTGCACTCTGAAAGATTCTATCCCTGGCTGCCTCCTGAATGGTTTCCTGAGACCCTTGACACATCGCAAGGTCTCCCTAGATTCTCTTTCTTTCCTCAACCAACATCACGCCTTGGAGACAAAGGCATGTAAGGTGAAAAAATAAAGGTTCTGTGTTTACAATGGTTGGTGATCATTATCTACATGGATACAAAGCTTAGCACTGTTTTGTAAGCACGCTCCCTGGAGTATATACATAGAGGCTGCTCAAAAGTAGGGTGGAAACCTGTGGAACAGAACCAAAGCCTGGTGATGTCAAGGTATATTTAGTCTTTGCTCAGATGTGCTTCCAAAACATTACCGGCAGAGCCAAGAATCATCTAACGTTATTTCTTTACTTATAAAGTTCTTTTATGTACACAAGCACACAACTATTTCTTATTAAGAAGTATTAAAAGTAACATGGGACACATTTCTAGATCCTTTCATCCAAAGATATGAAAGTACTTTACAGACACACCCATTATTTCTGTTAACTAATCTCATTTGGCCCATTTCAGAGATGGGTACAACCAAAATCTAAAACTTAGGAATTTAAGCTCATATTTTCTACTGTAATCACTAAGTTATGAATCTAATAACCAGAGGGAACCTTTAAATACAGGGATTGTATGTTCTTCCCATTTTTCTTGAAAGAGATATCTTTAAAAAAAAAATTTTTTTTAATTGTGGTAAAATACACATAACAAAATTTACCATCTTCACCATTTTTAAGTGTAGACCTCAGTGGTATTAAATACATTCACATTGTTGTACAGCCATCACCATCATCCAGTCACAGGCTCCTTTCATCTTGCAAAAGTGAAACGCTATATCCATTAAACAACAACTCCCCGTTTGCTACCTCCACATACTCCTTGGCAACCACCATTCTACTTCCTGTCTCCGTAAATCGGAGTACTCTAGGTACCTCATATAAGTGGAATCATACAGTATTTGTCCTTTTGTGTCTGCTTATTTCACTTAGCATAATGTCCTCAAGGTCCATCTATGTTGTAGCATGCATCAGAATGTCCTTCCTTTTTAAGGCTGAATTATATTCCATTGTATGGATATACCACATTTTGTTTATCCATTCATCTATCAAGGGACACTTGGGTTACTCTCACCTTTTTGCTCTTGTGAATAATGCTACTATGAACATGCATGCACAGATATTTCTTTAAGACCCTGCTTTCAATTATTTTGGGTTTATACCCAGGAGCAGAATGGCTGGATCATATGACAATTCTGTTTTTAATTTTTTGAGGAACCTCCATCCTGTTTTCCACAGGAAAATGTGGCTGTACCATTGTACATTTCCATCAGCCATGCATAGGGGTTCCAATTTCTCCACATCCTCGCCAACACTTGTTATTTTCTGTGTGTTTGATAGTAGCCATCCTAATGTGTGTGAGGTGGCATCTCATGGTGGTTCTGAAAGGGATATCTTGATTTCAAAATAATTCCAATTATTTCAGAGGTCAGTGGCAGGTAGTAGTAGCTCTACTTGGTCAGAAGATATAATTCCACATTTTCCTTTCCTTTGGGTGTCATGTTCTGTGTACTTCCTAATAAACAGGCAATTCAGAGCTCTTTACATCCACATGCTGGGAAGCACCTTTACCTGGCTCTCTTTGTCATCTCCTCTCTGTGATTCTCATCTCAAGAGAGTATGTGTGTGTGTGTGTGTGTGTGTTTCTCAAACTCCCTTGATGGCCAGATAATGGCAGAGTGTTAAAAAAAACCCAAAATTTAAAAAGAAAAAACATCAGCAAGTCTGGGGTTGAGTATGTATGTGTCAAAGCAGAGGGAAGGACAGAAGACGTGAGGCCCAGGCCGGTGGGCATAGGGCCTATGTTGCCCTTGACTATGTACATGGAGGGCAGTAATTGGTCAATAAATATTTTCTGAATTTATCTTGAGTGGACGAACCACAAGGAATGACAGGAGCTTCTACTGTGCATATAATCCAGTCTCTAGAACACTTCCTGAAAGTCATACTTCTTTAAGAAGCAGAATAAAAGAAAACAGAATCAGAGCCCAGGAAGACATGGTCAATTCAACCTTCCACTATCAGAGCAACCACGCACTGGGTCTGTGAGAAGCACTCCACACGCACTGACCTGTTTAGTCCTCACACCAGATCTAGGAGTTGACACTGTAAGGTATTAGCTGCTTTGTAAGGGAGAGAAAACAAGTGCAGAGAGATGGAATTCCTGGGCCCGTGTTCTTCCTCACTATTCTGTACTGCCTCCCTGGTTAAAATCATTTACTAATGGCTAGATTCTAAAAGTCTCCACAAAGCATGTACACACTCTGTAATTCTCAAAGCCCCACAGTTTCACAGAAAGCCCTCCACGGAGATAATCACCTTTAAAAAGGTAGCTTTATTTCCTACAGCAAAATTTCATCATTAAGACACTTCAAATCCATGTTTCCCTATAGAAACCTCTTGAGTGCTAAACAAACCATTTATCATTTTGCTCTCAAAATTATGTGGTTATCAGTGGATAAAACTGTGGTACCTGGGGAAGTCTGAGTCCAGAAATCTATCTGGGTAACTTCTTAAATCTCACATATACACACACACAACAAATGAACAAACAAACAAAACCTGGTATCTGATGAAAGTACCTGCTGTTAAAAATATGCTCTATTGGGGGAAAAGGATCAACTCTTTGTTCAATTAAAAAAAAAGCAATAAAATGAAAAGCAATTAAACCTAGGTGCACTTCTAAAAAGAACATGTGAGAATGCTCGGACTTGCATACCTGAGGTATGATTGACATTTTCTTCCTTAAATCGTGAAGTCCAACTTCGGTTGTCAAGATCTTATCAATCCAAATTTTACCTTCGGGTTCTGACAATCTAAAAAGGGCCGAAATGAGGGAACTTTTTCCAGCTCCTGTTCTTCCCACAATGCCAACCTGCAGAGAGATCCAGGAGGAATTAAGAAGGAACAATAATATACAACAGACCCAGGAGAAACTTTGGTTGCTGAAGATGAATTAAGAAAGTCCTATACTGAATGTAGTCTGGAAGAGTTTCTCAGCTTTAGTACTGTTGACATTTTGGGCCAGATAATTCTTTGTTGTGGGGGGCTGTCCTGTGCACTGCAGGACGTTTACCAGTATCCCTGGGCTCTACCTAACAGATACCAGTAGCACCTCCCAACTTGTGGCAACCAAAAATGTCAGACATTGACAAATGCCTCCTTGGCGGGCGGAGGGCAAATTGCCCCTGCTTGAGATCCACTGATCTAAAGAAAAGTTAAAAATAACAGAATCAATCTACTGGCAGTGAAAAGCCAGCAGCCTCCCAGGTGGTCAAAAAGAAGTCAGCTTTTAAACTAGCTTTATTCGTAGTGTCTTGGTATTTTGAACCTTGAGAATTGCTTGTATAACTTTATATAGATGTCAACAAGTCAAGTCAGAAGTGTTATACATAAACAAGTATTCATTTTTCCCAGAGTTCTATCATTTAAGAGGAGTTATTCTTTGGTAGAGAAACTATCAAAACTACATCACTTCTGGATGTTAAATATCTGGTTATGTTCTCTCCTGAAAGGAAACATCTTCAAATTTTAAAATGCAGGTCTAAGTGTCTTAAAAGACAGTAGCAAGTAGCCAAAATACACATAATGAGATCAACAACAACACCATCAACACAAATAACATTTGCTATTTACACGGGGCCTTTCATCTGAGCAGTTCAAAAGGCCTTTACAAACCAATTAATACCTACAACTGCCCCTTGAGAAAGATACGTTTCAAGTATCAGTCTAGTTAATAAAACCAAAGCAGAGAGAAATTAAGTATTCTGACAATAAGATCAAAGATCAATATAATGCAGGTAAAATGCTGATCAGGAATGAAACTGTATTGTAATAACTGGCTTTTAGCTGTGTGCCTTTAAACCTGGATGCAGAAATTGGCCTTTTTTACCAATGAGCTTGCCCAACTGCAAATTCCCTAGTGGGAGCTTCCCAAGCGATATCATGTCTGCTTAGGAATCTAGAATCAAAGAGGGGCATAAGACATGCTTTCAATCATTTGTAAATTAATTGAGTCAATTTTAAAAACTCCTGGCTTTAAAGAGAGAAGAACTAAACCTTTCTGAGCACTGATTATATGGTGGGAACTTGACATATTTTCTCATTTGAATACCGCCAAAGTTTTAAGGCTTAATCTATAAAATAATAATGGCATTTCAAAAAGGAATTTATCAAGATGCAATGTTAAAGAAAAATGGCTTTAGCTAATTCTATTACCTTCGTAGCCATTTTGTACCTTATGGTAAGGCCTCATTTATATCTCACAGACGGGCCAATTTCTGCATACAGATAGGTCCTAGTACGTACATGCGCGACTCCGGCGTGTGTCTATGTACTTCTGGGTGTTCTATGTAAATCAACACACATCAAGACAGAGACAAGAACCATGTCTCCAAGAATGTGCAGATGTCCCTGTGCCATCAGCGCTACTGAAACTGATCCATCTGTGCAAACTGGAACATTTGCAGACTGTTGGTAAACAGCCGAGATATGGCAGGGGGCACTGAGGGCTGCCCACGACCCCCAGACTGTGAGCTCCAAACTCAAGTGAGAATAATAAGAAAAAGGCAACTCACAGCAAACCTGGCTCTGGCTATTTCTCTCTGCTGTTCAGTCATCAAGGCTATGGCCTGAGTCTCTCACATGTCACCATGGGTTTTACCAATTGCCCATGGAGCATATCATCAACATCAGCAAGTTTACACTCACAACCCCAAAGAGACACTTTGAGACAGTCTTGTTATTTTAGCTGCTTTGCAACCACCCCTTTATGTTTTCTCAACTAGGCCAAGGTTCTCTGACGACCACACCAACACGTTAGACATTCGTACCCGGATCTCGCTTCACACATCAAACTCAGCATGATCAATACCCAATGCCCCACTCAAAACAGCTGCTTCTGCTGACTTTTCCATTTTCATCTCATAATTTCTTTCCCAGGCTCACGGGCTCAAAACGTCCACCTTACTTCCAGCTTTCTCCCAGTCCAGGATGGCGCCAAGCCCTCAAGATCCTACTTCTACCACATTTCATGACAGTCCCCTCATTTTAATGCCCACAGTGCTCACTGAGTACAAGGCTGAATTACCTTTTAAAAAACAAAATCAAGTCTTTTCTTAACCATAATCAGTGCAAATGAATATGAAGTCAATAAATATTAGCCATAACCCCTACACGCTGATATAACTATTCTTAAGACATTGATGTATTTTCTTTCTGGATTTGTGTGTGTGTTCCTAAAGACACAAGCTCATATATTTAAACAAAATGGGATTAATATGAACATATTATTATAATCTGTTTTCATTTAATATTTCATAAAAATATTTATTCTAATGGCCACATAATATTACAGTATATATGATCATTTACTTAAACTCCGTATTTATGGATATTTAGTCTGTCTCCAATATTTTGCTGTTATAAATAACTCTGTGTTAAAACATCCTTGAAGCTAAATCTTTGCAAGCAACCTTAATTATTTCCTTAAGATAAATTCTTAGATGTGGAATTGCTGAGAAACAGGTATGAACATTTCCAAAGGAGGCTGTTATGTACTGCCAAACTACCCTCCAGAAATACAATACCAGTTTCAACTCCCACCCATTTCCCTGCATATTCACAGACCTGGTGTTTTAACTTTGTTTTAATCAACATCAGCTTGATTCCAAAAAGTGGAATCACTTTCCCCATTACATCTTGCTAGGAGTACACAACAGCTACTGGCTTCCTGCCTCCCGCATCTTCCCACGACGGTCCACGTGCACTCACTTCTCAGATTAAACTTCTGAAAGACAGCTCTCTGCTGGTCACACCACCCCAGGATGTCTCTTCTACTAAACCATCCAGCTAACCTCTCTAGCATTAAGCTCCACCAGTCAGCTTCCTTGGGATTACTAGTAGTTGTGAGGAATGAAAGTGGAAATGTGCGTTACACACCTGGCAGTTCATTTCCTTGTGTGCTCTGCAGGCGCCTAATCCTTCACTTGCTGATTCACAGCATTCTGCCTTTGCTTACGCTGGTCCCACCACCAGGAATGCCTTTCACATGCATTCCCACCTGCGGAAATCCTAACCGCATGTCACAAAGTCTGTCTCACAGGCCTAATTCTTTGGAAATGCTCTACCTGTTCCCTCATGTGGACTTCTCTCGCCCTAACAGATGTCATGTCACCTTTTTCTAAACTTCCATAAGAATTGTGACCTCCTTCCATCTAATGTAGTGGTCATTTTTATACTACCTTGTTTCTTCTACTGGACTATATGCATGAAAAGCGGGATCCATACTGGATTCACCCTTGTATTATCTGTATTACCTGTGGTGTCCTGTGCAAAATAGGCATTTCATAGAGAGTTGAGAAGTTTAATTCAGGCTGGAGAAATTTATGGAAAATGTATTACCATATCATTTAGGTATACGATAAGCTGGACAGAGAACACAAACATGGCAGATAGAGCCTATAACCATAAATACATTTGCAAATGGCCAATCTCTCACGTTCACAGGGCAGAGAATTTACGCAGCATAAGTAGTTATGGTCATTTTACTCCCTATGATAAGGACAGCTATCGTCCCGGCGCTTAGTTAGTGCTGGTCTCGGTACTAGGTGCTTTACACGTCTTATCTCGTCTAAGTTGTACAACAACCCTAGAGGCTAGGTCCTATTACTTTCATTTTGCAGAAGAGACAATCAAGGCTTAATAAGATTAATTAGCCTGTCTGAAATAATAGAGCCTGTTAAGTGCAGGATGGGACTCAAACCCAGGTCTACCTGCCTCTTGCCCACTCTGCTTATGGCTTCCTTATCACTTGGATGGCACCTTATCACGGCCCTCTGCCTAGCAAGAAGAGCGAAAGTGGAGAGAGGTGTGGTTGTGGTTAAAGGAACTGGCCTACCATACAGATCCTACTGTCAGACATTTAAAGCATCATGTGGATGCAGGTGGGTACAATGCGGCAGGTGGGACAAGAAAGCCAACATCTCTGAGCAAAGAGGGTACCCGAGGTGGGATGGGCTAGTTGTCAGCAGGAAGAAGTGGCACCCACAGCTGCGACTAGGAGAGAAACATGCAGCTAAGTGGGGCACATGGTACCTGGGAAACAGGCCAGACAGACCTACTGCCCTGCTTGGGGCAGTGAGACTAATTTTTGATCCCATCAAGTGGTCAAAGATAATGCTACGCTTGGCTGTCTGACTCCGGGCCCAGGCGGGGCCCAGCCCGTGGTGAAATACCTCTAGCTTCTACAGGAGGCTGGTATGAGGAAGGCTAGACAGCAGGAAGAAAGCTGTGTGTGATGAAGACAGACTAGACTAAAAAGACACAAACACACAAACTTGGAATCACACATTAAGTAATAATGTAAAGTCACAATGTGCAGAATATAAAAGTAAATACATCTGTAGGGTGGTAAGTGCCATAGAACTTTCTAGAGCCTCCTGCTCAGTCACAAGAGGGGCTGGGGTAATTCATGAGCTCAATTTCAAATCGTCAAAGGACATTTCTTGGAAATCACAGATTATCAGTCATTAAAAATTGCCTATGGGGGAAAGATGACTTTACTGGGGCATCCTCAAATGTGATTCTCAGTCAAGAGGTCTGGGTGGGCCTGAGATTCTGCATTTCTAAGAAGCTCCCAGGTGATGCAGGTGTTGCTGGCCCTGGCTACACAGTTTGCATAGCAAGGAACCAGAAAGCCGGCAGGGGCAGCGGGACAATCTGGGAGTGAGGGGAGGGGTTTCTGAGAAAATATTATGTAAAAGAAGATGAAAATGTAGGAAACTAATATTTTTGCACATTATAGCAAGGTCTAGTACACATCTGTAAAAATGTATTATCCAAGTAATAGCTCTGAGCAAGAAAAAAAATAACAAACCAAAACCAATCTACCTCTAGAGCTGGAAAATGCTTTAAAATGGCCCAGTACTCTCTAAAATGATCAAATCAACCACAAAATCATCTAAATGAAAAACGCAGCCAGTGTTTAGAATCTAACCAGGAAGCCTAGGGTGCTATTTACCTCATTCTGGTTCTTTATTTTTACTTGCTATTTCTTCCATGAATTAGAAACCTGCTTCATACCCATGACATTTTCCTGTTTACTGTAACTTCCAGGAGTCTGGACAGCAGAGGAAAAGACTGAAAAAATAAAGCATCATTTCTGCTGGGTTGGCACATTCCCATGTCCTCCCCTGCAAGCCTGTCTCAATCAAATTCGACACCAAAGCGGTGTCCCAGAATAACGGGGGCTGGGACAGGTGTGGAGGAGACAAGCCTGGGACCCACACAGGCAGAGTAAAATCATTTCATGACGACGCTGCCTGGATATAATCTCTCAACACATAAATGGAGCTAAAGGTGATACTGCAAATGGACCAGAACACAAATCAAGAGTCGAGTTATTGTAGTTCTTATAATTCAGTCTCCAAGTTCAATTTTCCCTCATTTTAGAATCTCAGATAATCCAATGATCTGGGGGTTTAAAATTGAAGAATACAAATCTGTTATGTTTCTAAGTTGTACTACACAGTTTCTTTGATAATTTATATTTTATGGCTTCCAGGGAAATTTAAGACATGTGCACATTAACAGAATTACGTTTACAACGTGAAATCTGAGGGACACACTGTCTGTGAGTACACAAACATCCCTTACAGTGTGCTTGGGGACAGAGTTACATCAGGAGCTGCATTTAATGTCTTCCTGACACAGCTGTCCTCACCTTCTTACCCATCTACAATGAAACTGGAAATAATTAGGAGCCAGCTTTTGCCATGTGACTTACTAATGCTGCTCCCTGGGTATCATTTGGGCATTAAGTTGAACATTTATTCTTTCATGTCACAAGGGTATCATCCATTAAATTACGGCTGTAGTCCACTAAATGGGTCTGTGGTAGAGAGAGAGTTTAAAAAGAGTAGTTCTTAAAGTATTTAACATATCTAGGTAATTGGTTGTTTACAGGAGTTGTCTTGTGGGTAAGTTTCTGTTACTGGTTGCTTCATATCTGCATGTTACTCACTCACTCTCCCAGCCAGCAGCCCCTCAGCACCCACTATGTGCCCTGCAGAATGCCATTTTCTGGGGAACAAAGATGAAAATAAGATGCTCTCTGACTTGAAGAAGCCTCAGGGTACAGTGAGATACAGACCCAAAATTACAAAGCATGCCATAAGTGCTATTGTTTTTACTTTATTTTATTTTTTGGTGAGGAAGATTGGCTCTGAACTAACATCTGCTGCCAATCCTCTTTTGGCTGAGGAAGATTAGCCCTGAGCTAACATCTGTACCCATTCTTCCTCTATTTTGTACGTGGGATGCTGCCACACATGGCTTGACAAGTGGCGCACAGGTCTGCGCCAGGGACACGAACTCGCAAACTCCGGGCCGCCAAAGCGGAGCGTGTGAACCTAACAACTACGCCACTGGGCCAGCCCCCATTTATTTTTTAATTGTGATAAAATACACATAAAATTTACCAACTTAACCTTTTTTTTTTTTTTTTTACTAAATAAACATTTACTGAATTTAATAAACACAGTCAAAATAATGTAAATTACTACCCACATGAAGAACATAAGAGTTAAGAAATACACAGTGAAGGTAAGATTAGAGTGGGATAGGATAAATAGGCAAGTTTTTTCTGTCTTTCCTCTGGATCCCTGCTCCCATCTCCATCCAAGCTATCTTGGATTTTATCAAAAACCTGGGATAGCAACTTAACCATTTTTTAAGTGTATAGTTCAGTCATGTTAAGTACATTCACACTGTTGTGCAACCAACTGCCAGAATTCTTTTGGCCTTGCAAAACTGAAACTCTGCACTCATTAAACAACGACTCCCCATTTCCCTACCCCCTAGCGACTACCATTCTACTTTCTGTCTTTATGAATTTGACTATTCTAGGAACCTCATATAAGTGGAATCATACAGTACTTGTCCTTTTGTGTCAGGCTTATTTCATTTAGCATAATGTCCTCAAGGTTCATCCATGTGTCAGAATTTCCTTCCTTTTTAAAGCTGAATAATATTCCACTGCATGTATACACCATATTTTGTTTACCCATTCATCCGTCGACAGACACTTGGGTTGCTTCCACCTTTTGGCTACTGTGAATAATGCTACTTTGAACACCGGTGTACCATAAATACTATCTTAAAAGAATAGATAAGATGCTGTGGAAGAACTGAGGGTCTCACAGAGGCAGATATGTTAGAGCTGGCTGAAAACGAGGAGACTCCCCAGCCAGATGACAGAAGGGAAGGTCTCTGAGGTAGAGAGGCACGTGCACACACTGGGAGCAGGGGGGACATGATGCTTTGGGAGAACCTATACCACCCAACCGCAAGGGTGTGCGCATGTTAGGGGTCGAGGCTGGGGAGGCAGGTGAGAGAAGAGCTTCCTGCTGCCTTGTCCAGGTGAAAGGAACACTGGCGGCAGACTCAGACACTGGCAGGACCAGGTCACACAGCTCTCAGCCCTCTCCCATGTGTATCATCTCCTGCCCCTTTGGGTTTCCTTTCATCGACTTTGAGGGGGTCTCTGGGCCCTTTACTGCCTCCAACTGGGGGCTCTGGTTCCTCAGCCTGACTGGGTCACGGATTCCGGATTCTTCTCTGGTGGTGAAGCGCTGGGCTTGCAGCCCCTGCTCGAGTGTACCCGGGGCCATGCTCTGGTTCCAGCAGCAGCTCGCCCAGGCCAGGAGCTAGCAAGGGGCCGCGGAGAGATCGGATCTGTTTCAGAAAGAAGCAGTCTGTGGCGGGGAGGGCAGGGGAACGACAACAAGGTATGGGTTAGAGGAGGGCAGGTCTGTGGAGAAGACCAAGGGATGGAGGAGGAGCGTTGCCATCTCAAGGGCACCACAGAGAGGAAGAGGAGGATTTGAGAAATACACAGAAGTAAGAATCGACAGCAAATAGATATTGGAGGGTTACTGACAAGGAGCAAGTGTTGACTTCCAAGACTCAGGCATGAATAAGTGGATGTCGGATAGAGTATCCTGGGTCAGGTTAAGTTCTAGCCCTGGGGACCAGGGCCCACCAACTACCATGAAGCAGCTCACAACACAGGAAAGAAATGTGGGTATCCACATTCTATGGTCAGTTTCCAAGATTCACCTATAATATCACCCGTCTAATCTGAATCCACAGAGGAGCCAAGAGTCCCCTGGACACATTCACAGGGAAGCCAACAAGAAGATGCTATAGTGCTAAATCATTAGACGAAATTTTAAAGAGGCAAGGCAGCTGAAACAAACCTTTTCTTTTGATTTAATGAGTGCTGTCAGGTGCTTCAGTACCAGAGGCCCATCTAAACTGTACGTGAAGTTAACGTTATCAAAGATAATCACTCCTTCATGGGGCCAGGTCGGTGGGGGGCGTTTCTGGTATTCCCAAGGTGCTTCTTTCTCAAGGTCTGTATACTCAATCACCCTTTCCACTGAAATCATCTGAAAAACACAGGACATCACATGGGTTAAGAGTGGAGGGTCTTGTTTACGGATGTTAAGAGATTGTAAATGAAATGTTGTGCTCAGGATATCTCAGGTCTTAATATCCCACAGGAGGGAAGTAGGAGTCTGAGGAGGACTTTGATGATTTATAAACCCGTTCGTCGTCTTTTAACACTTTCACTTACAGCTACTTCCTTCAACATTATATTAAAACTAGAAGAATTCGAGAAACGAATGCTAGGATTTTATTTATCTACTTGTCACAGCTGAATAAAATACACGAGGATTTTGTCAAAAAAAAATAAGAATACTTATGGCCACCCGTCATAGATGAGTAAAACTGAATGGTCATCAAACCTCATTTTAATAATCAGTCACTTTCTACTCTATTAGAAGAGCAAAATGGAAAGATTTCGTTTTCACTGTTTTTCCACCTTTAGGAGAAGGTGCAAATATTCAAAAGAGGAGATGATTTACATATTGACTAAGGCCTCCTCAACAATCATGACTCAACACCTTTGACTAGCACCTTCCAAGAAGGCGCTTACTCTACCAGAAAGGGACACCAGCAAATTTAGGCCCTCCTGTTTCTGTTCAAAACATACAAGAATAAATGTTAAAATGTGTGTGTGTGTGTGGGGGGGGAGATACCTATTAATTAAACAAAAAACCTCCAAACACTGAATTCTTCTTTTACCAGGTATAAGGAATTATTCATTAAGAAACAAAAATCAACAGGCCTCCAAGAAATTAGCTTATACCCTCTCCAGGATTTCAGAACCTCCCTCCTACAGAGACATTTATTACATTTGAAGACTTGTGATGAGTATAAAACCCGCTGACACTGCATACATAAGACTGAGAAAAAGATGTATATATTTTATTTTACATTAACTTTAAACAGATGGAGGAAGGATCTAAAAAACTCTGTTAGCTACAAAGTAAAAATAACAGTTTTAATATTTTACATAAGAATTGCCTTTATGCCATTTAATGGCAAAGCAACTTGAAAAGGCTAAGGAACGTTAGGATAAACAGTACCAGATTCTCAGCTTCGGCGCTCTGCCTGACGCACCACTGGAACATCCCCATGAGCGTGAGGGCGTAGGACAACGTGAGGCCCACCTGCCCAGCATCCAACGCTAAATGAGGAAGAAGGGGAATAAAGTCAGTCCCATCCTTAACCCTGAGCCCAGCTCCTTGTGTCACTTCACCCAGAAAACTCTTTGATTATATTTAAATAATTTGCATATAATGATTGAGACTATGATACAATGAAAAATAAAAAATTATGAATTAGAAAGATTAAATGAGTTTACTAATCCCAAGAGGATCAACATACACTTGACAGTATTATACAGTTGAAGAATAATGTCATTATTCAGACTTTCATCATTATGGTTTTGAGGCCCATTACATCATTGCACTTTCTACGTCTAATGCAACCGCAGTTGGAAACCACTAAAAATAAGGCAATGGGTTCTAAAAGCCAGTGCTTTTAAATCTAAAATACTACTCTCTTTGTTCCATTATTAAATATTGTGATTCATTGTTGCTACTCTGGAATACTTAGGGGTGGCAAATTCATGCCATACATGCCAATGCCTGCTCATCTGGTACCCATGAGCAGTGAGGATAACGTTCTTTCCTGCTGAGAATCTTTCTCAACCCAGTGCACCAGGCGCCTACAACCAAGAGATCCGAGTAGGCATAAAGCTAAAACCTAAAGTCCTAAGCTGGACAAAATGCTTAATAGTAAACTTGGTTCTCTCCTCACAACTACCAGACACTACCAGGAAAGTTCAGAAGGTCAGCTTGCTACACTGGCATAGGCCTCAAACCATTAAAGAAAGATAAAAGGAACTCATCAAGACCCAGTGACTCCTCTACATGGGCCACACTGTGCAATCACACCCAACCTGACCACTGCAAATGCTTTAATACAATTCATTAGAACTAAACAGTATACGATGTTAGACAAGGTGGCAAGAGTTTAATTTAATAACTGTAAACGCAGCTATAAATTGTAAACATACCACAAATAGTTATTCACATCTGCACTTACTTTTTGCCAGAATCAGGGACCCAAAGGTAATAACAATGACAAAGATGGCACAGATGGCATCCAGACGCACGGCGAACCACCGGGATGTAGTCAAAAACAAGAACCAAGCCTCTGGATTTGTGAACCGTAGCAAGCATAATGAATAAGTAGAAAAACCACGTTAACTGCTTCGAACGAGGAAGAGCATTTTGCCCATTTGAGCTACAGAAGATTTCTACACAAAGCAGGACAGCAAAGTTGTACCCCCAACGAACCTGAAGATTCCAGAAAGCTAAGCTGTGACACAAGACAATGTGTGGTACACATAGGAACGGTGCAGTGGCTTTGTGGGAAGCATGCATTGAAAAATTCAACCCAGAAGTTATAAACAGAAATATGATCATCATACAGAACATGGAAAAATGGTCTCTTCAGTGCATTTCTGGCAGTGCTGGGCCTCAACGTGAAGCTCACACTCTCACACGGTTGACTGTTCCTAGTTCTCCGACAGCAGAGAACACAGCTCCCATTTTGTTTCCAGCACCTTCCATATTTACTACAGGCCCTGCACGCAGAGTTTATTCCTTAGGAGCCAGTATCTAAATGACCATCTCACTAAAAGTATCTGCACGTGGCTTTCAAAATGCCATTTTATCTTCAAAGTACAATAAAATTAGGAAAGGTGGGCCAGGATTTTATAGACTTAGAGGAAATTCTGAAATTTCTACATAGAAAAAAACTTCACTGATACAAAGAATAATACATATCAAGTGGGTGGCAAATCTGATAATCAGGAAATTGATTTCCTCAGTCACTTCTGCCACCCTGCATGCTCTGAAAAAAGAGTCAGCAAACTACAGCCTGTGGGCCAAGTATGGCCCACTGCCTGCTTTTGTAAATAAAGTTTTATTGGAACACAGACATGGTCATTTGCTGATATATTATAGCCATGCATTGCTTAAAGATGGGGATATATTCTCAGAACTGCATCATTAGGTGATTTCCTCATTGTGTGCACAGCATGGAGTGTACTTACACAAACCTAAACAGTATAACCTACTACACACCTAGGCAATACAGTACTAATCTCATCAGACCACTGTCGTACACGCAGGTCGGTCATGACTGCATTTACCTTTGCCTGCATTCATGCTACAACAGCAGTTGAGTAGTTGCAACCAAGATAATATGGTGCACAAAGCCTAAAATAGATACTATCCGGCCCTTTACAAAAAAGGTCGCTGCCCTAAAGGGACAGAAAGCCGCAGGGCACAGGGATGCAAGGACGATGCAAGCCAGTCAGGGCGAGCCAAGCAGTGTGTGCTGGGGCAGAGGGGAGCACAGAGGGCATTATGAGAGGAGTCATGGCCATGAGGAAGGAGAGGGGAGGAAGATGCGCAGAGGCAGGATGTGAGGTGGGGTTGGGGGTGGGGGGCAGAGAAGGAGAGGTGCTGGCCAGCAAGGACACCTCAGAGGGAAATCAAGCCGCAGAAGGCAGCATATCCCATCCTCTGAAAGCATTTTCAGAAACTTACAGACCTGAGTGCAAATCCTGGTGTGCATCAAACAGTTCCTGAAACCTCTCTTCAGCTTTGTACGCCCGGATGGTCCAGAGTCCCTGGAGAGAAGCCGATAAGTGGGAAAACACTGGGCTCCGTGCTGCGGAAGCAGAGTCAGACGAAAAAGAGAAAGTCAGTGAGGCTGGATACAAGGAAACGAACTGCCTCTCGTGCTCTGTGGTCGCACATCCCGTGGAAGCGTACACCCGGAGCCTCCTGGGCTGCCTCGGGAAGAAGCGACGATGCCCGTGCTGGAGAAGGCTTGATCTCACCCCTCGACCTCCTGGTCATGTTACACTTCACTTCAATGACCTGGAAATGAAAGTTTCTCTTTGAACCTATCTTCGACAAAATTCAAATCATAGCTAGATTTAGATAACAAAATTCATTCTTCGCCCACTCATTCACCAAGATCCTCCTCAAATATGGCCTCCCTCCATATTCTTCTCTGACATTCCTCTGGGTGGAAATTATCATTCACTAATTTGAGTCAGTAGCATTTTTAAGTTTAATTCTGTGTTAGAGTACTCACCACATGGAATTATGATTAGCTATCATGTGTCTGTCTCCACCTTAGGTCATCAACTTCTTGAGGGCTGGGATAAAGCCAGCACATCCCTGAAAGGAACAGTGCCTGGCACAGGACAGGTGCACGGTAAGTACAGTGAATGGACAGGCCGCATCGCCCTGCATCCTGGGGAAGTTCCTGGTGCCTGCTCCTGCACCAAGAGTCTCTCATGGGTCATGGGGCACCTGGGTATTGCGCTGTCCTTGTGGCCACAGGACCTGCACAGCCAAGGTGCCTTTGAATAGTCTTGACTTCAGCTCTGGGAACCTGATGGATGTTTTTACAACTGCCCTGCTGGACACTTGTCCTGGCCTTTGGAGGTCTCTCTGGCATGTAACAGTGACGCTGCCCTTTCAGAATCTGACTGTGGCCTTGGCGGCCACTCTCTTTGGAGTAACTTCACATTGGTTTGGGGCCTGATGCCACAAGATCAGCCATTCATTTCCCTGCCGTCTTCTCTAAGAGCACACTGTGGACGAGCACCGGGGTCTGGCTCCTGCACATCGGAGAAGAGGTGGGCTGCACGCTGCTGGGCAGGGATGATCCCTTACAGTTTTCATTCCCCACCACAAATGAGGCTGTAACTAGCTATCGTCAGGGACAGACTGCGAGCCTGCGACCTCTGTCTGTGATGAGTAATAATCTGTGCTTCATCAGCAGGAAATACTGACTTATCAACTTGTTACCTGTGCCTCTCCTAGGGAAGACCCGTTAGTAAAACCTGGGTGTTCAGGGGAAGTTAAGATCACATATCTTATAGGAGGCTGTAGAGATTTTATAAAATGATAGAGGGGGAAAAAAAAAATTAAAGGAAAAACTCACTTATTTTCAGGCCTGACTCCCTAGCCCGGCATCCGAAAGCCTGTCTAAGTTCAGTCAATACCGACGTGCACATGGGCACTGCGTGGGGGGGGGGGGGGCCCTCTGGGGTACAAATGTGTAAACACAGAACCTCTTATTAAGCTTAGTGTCCATGGCTCCTCAAGCAAGGAAGCAACCAGCTTCCACGTGTGAGACACGGGTTCAGACAAGGTGGGAAGCCCGGCTAGGGGCGTGCTGAGCATCCACTCAGCTTTCTGGCCCTTTCCTGACTGGGGACATTAACCGTTAAGGGCCCTCATCTGTGATTCTGCTTTAAGGAAAAAAAAAACCTCTGAACCGAGATACGATCTAACATCTGCTCTTGTATCTAATTGAGGCAAAGACCCTTAAGTGATTCGGTGGTGGTTCTGCCCGTCCACTTATATGTTTGTGGTCGTACTCTAGTATCCATGCTGTTCTGTCTCTTCATTATACTGAGTGACCTTTGATCTTTCTTTATTTTAGCTTCCTTTAACTTTGTAATTTTAAGACAGTAACATGAACATAAGGGGACTGAGCTCATGCTCCAAATAAGAAAGGCTGGAAGCTCTGAACAGGCCTTTCCTGCACTCCCCAGCAGATGTCCAATCCACCCCAGAACATAGTCAACATGGAAACGGGGTGCTCACAGGGAGGACTCAGGAGAATTCCAGTCTCCAGGACCCTATCAAGAAAGTGCCCAGAGTCCAGCTCCAGATAGCCCAGAGAACTCACCAGAACCATGCTCTCCTTTCCAGAGCAAATGCTGTGCCATAAACACAATTTCATCAGCGACAATGCTCCTGAGCAGGAAGCAGATGTGGCTCTCCACCCAGGGAGAGCCCGGGAATGAAATTCTTCAGCTTGGCCATCCTCCCTTGCTTCCCTCACCAGGAGGTCAAAGTTGCAGGGGATTATCTCTGGCAGGATTTTAGGGCAGCGTTGACTTTAGAAACCAGGCTGCGTCTCAGCCTTGAACACCAGCGAACCCAAAGACCACATCACCTACTTTACCTCATACCCAAGAGTTACAGCGGTCCAGCAGGAATCTGTCTCTGTGAAAAGCTATCCTGTTTCTTTCACAGCCCACTAGGGCCAGCATGAGTGAACTGGAGGGTCTGCAAAGAAAATTAACTAGTACAGAGGGAGAGGGGGTGCCAAGGCTCTGGCATTACCTCGCCCAATGTAATACCCTTTTTCCCATGAAAACTGAGCTGGCTATCCTGAAGTAGATCTGTATGACACCCATGGCCTCAGTCAGCAGTCACAGACAAAGGTAACCCTACATTTCCCAAGGCTGACAGCTGTGTTTTCCATGACCCTGAGGACTTTTGGGGACATACCCCCCAAGGACTGCAAATCTTCCCTGGAAGTGGGAGGGCAGGGACCTGGGCTGACAGCCTTGCTGCAGCTTATCATTAATGCTATGTGAGACCTCCTAGTTATTATCTTCTTAATTCCCTTGTGTTCAAGGTTCTAGAGCCTTTTGTAGTGGCCAGCAAGCACTGTACAAGCATCAACTCAGGCATCCTCACAAGAACCCCAAAGGGCAGGTATTATTATACCCTTGACAGAGGGAAAAACAGATTGAGGGATTAAGAGCACTGCCCAAGATTAAGTTAGTTAACCCAAGTAAGTAGTAGAGCTGGGTGTCAGACCCAACTGTCTTGTGCCTAAGGCTGTGCTTTTAGTCACAGCCAGTGTCTCAAAGGGAGCATAATCAGGGTTGAAGATGTCCACGTGTGACTAAATGCATTTGTCTCCAGAATTTGTAGTTTATGTTTAGAAAACTCCAAAATCTTACTTAGCTATTATCCAAGAGCATTACCCATCATTGTACATCTTATTAAGCACCTTAAGTTGAACAGAGTCCCTGGGAACCTGGCATGAGAACACCTTAAAATAGCAGACTTGAGGATCTATGGTCTGAAAACACGTGGCACACATGTTAACCCTCCTCTAGCAATGCCCGTGGCAGGCATTGCTAGTTGATCACAGCACCCTTAAAGACAGAATTTGGATATGGCTTCATAATTTAGGCACTGCCAAATGAATAGAGTCAGCTAGAGCAATGCAACCAAATGCCATCCCGGTTTTACACACTTCTCTATCCCTGACCATTGCTAAGCTCACTTTTACAAAAATGAAAAACCATCACTATCAATGGCGTTTGTCATTAAGACAGCTTAAACGTCAGCCTAAGTTTCCAGAGGCACCAGCAGTGGCCTCAGGAAATACTATCAACTACTGCTTAGGGGAAACAGTGGAATTGTTACTGATGGCACAGGCCCACCACCCAGATAGATAATAAACAGTTCCAGTCAAGTGGCCATTGGATTATCTGGGAACATGGATGAGGGAGTCTCCACCTTTAACTTATTGTCGCAGCCTACTGGGGTGCAGAGAAACCCAAATATTCCACAGGGGCTATGCCAAAGTTCTCAGAATCTCCAAATCTAATAATGAGAAAATCCTATACTGCTTCTTGAGAAAAGGTTCACGAGGTCCCCTTCTCTCCACTTCCATATGGATGGGAAGCGGCCCTTGTCCCAGGTAAAAATCTACATCAAGTGTTCCTTCTGAACAACCCTTCTTTAAATATACCAGATTCCTCCTTTGCAACAAGACTGATGAATAATTCCACTTCATGAGTGGCCAACAAATCATAAAGTGTGTGAAGCCTTGCTGTCTACACAAAAGACTGGTTGGAGCTCATCATTTATTCTTCTGCCTTCTCCAAGTCCTATCATAGTACCAAGTCATAGCAGCAGAATGTTACACGTGCCTGGACTCCACTGCTCCACCATCCCATCGAAACAACGCACAAAACCAGACCTCATGGTAGTTTAGCTGGTTCTCTTGATGACTGAAAAAATTTTTATAGCTTTTATGAAACTGCCACCCACTATCCTTTTATGCAAATACTTATCATAAATACTTCTCAAGAGTTTATTATTAAAAAAGACACACACATATGCCACAACAAAAAAGTCCTTTGTCCTGATGAACTTATATTTTTCCACTTAGTAGAAGTGGAGGATCATGGGACTCAGTATGTTTCTCTCCTTAGGCTGGCTTCCAGAAAGCTAAGCTGGTGTTAATTTGAGTAGCTATTCATGATTGAGGTTTCTTCCTTCTTTACATTTTGACTATTGTCCTTATACCTTTTTTTAAAAATATAACAATTCTACTCTCCTTAGGATTTTTTAATTTTAATAATAATAAAATGTTTGTGCATTAACAATGAGATAAACTGTCAATTATTTCGCTCTCTGTGATTACCAATAGAATAGAATGATTAATCATAAAATGTTTCCCCCATTCTTCCAAAACTAGGAAGTTGAATAGAGTAACAGACTAAATGCACACTGAACGGATTCCTCTCCCCTGTCCTCCTAAGGGGATTACTTTCAGCATCCATTTATATGAACAGCTTAGGGGGAAAAAACATCAAACAGTGTGGCATTACACCAAATATTGGTGACAATAAAGAAAAAAACCGAAAATAACAGCGCTTATCTTTTTAAAACATTTAACAACTGCAACTTGTGATTTTTTGAGTATGTGGAAATAATCTATTTTTCACATGTATCACTTCCGATATATATTTCCTGACACCTCCTTGCCTTTCCTTCATTCTTCCTTTCCTTGTCATTTCTAGTAACTTCTGAGGAAGAAAAATTCCCTATTTTCCTTCCAAAAACGTTCACTGAGTGCCTGCTCTGTGTTAGGGAGGATGTCATGAACAAGACAGAAACGGTCCCAGTCTTCACGGTGCTCAAGTTCCAGGAGAGCATCATTCCACAGATGTCCTTCACTCCTTCCTCACGCAAATCTGCAAAGCTGCACCTGGCATGCCATCAGCTCCATCTGCCCTAAGGGCCACACTGACTCACGGTGGCCACAATATTCAATTACCTAACTTAGAGAGAAATTCCAGAAGACAGAGTCTCCACAATTTCAGGGGTCTCCTTAATTATGGCATAAATGGAAGTTAGCTTGCATTGCCATCCCAACCTGAGAGCCCCGGTACTCACTTGTAGATTCCAGGCGTTTGACATCTCTTGACGTTTCTAAGAAATATCGCCGAAGAACAAAGAAAATGATGACCAGGGGAATCAGAGGTATTGCCATCCAAGGAATCACTGCCACCGCCACGCCCACCACACCAATCACTTGTAGAAATGACTGAAATAGTGAAAACACATACAGAGGCCTCCTTATCAAAAATTCTTTTCAAAAACCAGACTTTAACGGGTTGTTTTGTTAGGATTAAACTCCTTTCCTAAAAAGGCTTGTTGGAATGTCAGGGAATGCTTTCCCATCCAAAGATATAACAAAATTATAAGTGGTCCTGATGTTATTTACTGCATGCTTACTATGTGCCAAATAAGAACTTGCTAGGTATTAGCTCTTTTTTGATACACTCAGTAGCCCTATGAGGTAGGCATTACTATTTTCCCTATTTAACAGATGAGACAATTTGAGACTCAGAATAGGACTTGGATCCCAAACTATCATTAGTCAGTAGATATTACGAGGGAAATTAGCAAGCAGGTATCAAAGATAAGGAATGCAGAAGACTCAGCTATATATGTAGGGATAAGGAAGAGGTTAATTACAAATTCAGCCTTCAGAAAAGGAGGAAAAGGGTTAAACATTTACCTTTGGAAGTGGGGATTCCTCTTGGTTTTCTATTCATAGTTAACATTTACTGAGAGCCGGCCGCACATTAACTACTTCACATTTATTAACTCATTTAATCCTCATAATAGCCCTATCAAGCAGTAGCATTACCCCATTTTACAGATGGGGACACTGAGGCACAGGGAGAGGAAAAGCAACTTGATCAAGACTGGCATAAGTCACGGAGCCAGGGAGCCCATGTCATTAGCCATTACAATATATTTAAACTTGTCCCCAATGTACAGCCATCTTTTTATTGTTCAGGAAAAACATTTTGACTTATTTGAGTTTCCTAATTTGTCTTTAATTTTTCCTCTAAATACCTTAAGGAATTTCAGAGTTCATCAGTATGCCCAATAAAGAATAGACAAGAGACAAGAAATATGATGAAACAAATTTTTGATATTTCTTAGAAATCTGAGGAAGAGTTTTGATAATAAGGAAACAACTTACAATGTCTAAAAGGGTTTTTTTCCCATCTGGATATACATTAAATTTTCCATCATTAGCATAAGTATTTAATATCTATTTCAAAGGCTGCTGCTGATAACAATGGCAGATGCCAGCTGTCAGGCGTTTACTGCATGTAAGGCACTGTGCTAAGAGTTCTATCTGCATCTATCCTATGAGGTGATTTTATCTTGGGAAACGATCTTGGTCTAAAAAGACAGCAGGCAGAACAGAAACCCAAGTCCCTGGATGATGCTGATTTAAGTATCCATCTTTATCAGGAAAAGTACAATATCATGGTGTACGGCTTCAGGCAATATGAATGCAATTCACCTCCTAGTGTCTGCCGGCTATGAAACTGGGGTCGGATGGTGCGGACAGGCAGATTCACATGGCATGGGCCAAGGGCTCCAAAGTTTACGATCTTAGATGGAGACAAATACATGACCACCCACACAAGGCACAGAGCACTATGGAAATACAGGGAAGAATACATGAACACTTTCTAGAGGTTTCTAAGAGGAGGCTTATGACCAAATTTCACAGGCTGGCTTAACAGAAAGAATGGCACGAATAATTTGCAGGTAGTAATCACCAAGAGGGAGCTGGGCTGCAAAGGTTAAGTTGCTTGCCCACATTAACACAGGCTGTTCTGTGACTTCCTAGCACCCACACCTGCATCCTCTGATCACCAGCCCAAGGCCTTCCCCACCAGGCCACCCAGGGCAGCAGGCCCCCGGCACATCTCCAACGGAAGGATGAGCAAGGTAATGTCTTAGGGAGACACAAGTTACCATCTCACAGTTCTTCCACATCAGTTTGCTCAGAGGATCCTCCCGACCATGTTGTGAGTGAGAAAAGTAAGCAGTGTCACTTCCGTTTACGGATAAGGAACGTGAAGCTGGGAGGTTAAGTGGTTGTCCTGAGTTCTCCTAGGAAGTTACTGTGCTATGGAGAAAGCCAGGAGCGGTTCATACACAAGGACTCCAAGTGCCACAGCTGTAGGCAGGATGAGCATGGAGAAAGGAGGAAACTTCCAGAACCTTGACTTTTTGGCCAGGAGCCCCCGTGAATGAGACTGCATTATCTTGATGTAGACCAACGTGCTTTTACCGTTTCTCCCAGTATCTGCTGTGGTATCAATACAAAACCCAGAGTGAAGAGGAATGGAATTCTGAAGGAAAAAATTCCACTCATAAATGGAGGAAAACAGGGCTGTCAGACCTCCCTCCTTTTATACCTACAGCTGAACAATCTCTTACAGCTACTGGATTAACTGATGCATCTGACCCTGCTATACTGATTAGGAAGCCAGGCTTTCTCCCTTCACGCACCAGCTCCTTCTATGACCGGTCTTATATAAAGTCACTAGGCTTGCTATCATTAGTTGTCAGGGGAAAAAAACCCTGCTGAAATGTCAATTATGAAAAAATTCAAAATTACAATTTTTTAGCAGACTCATGTCACGTGATTGGACAATATTCACCAGTTTCAATTATCCGGCTCTCCCTGGAGTGAAGGCTTTTTATGGCCAACCCAGCCTGGCAGATGACCCGGGAGCAGAGGTAAGCTCAAAACTGAAGGGCTCCACTGGAACTGTGCCAACACTCTTTTCCTGGGGACCCAATCAAGACTGGTAACTGTTACTCTCAGCAGCTCCCAAGTTAGGTTAGCTCTTTCAGATTTGATGCTCCAAAATTCTGAAGCAATTCAAAGAAGCCTTTTGATAAATTTTATTTCTGCTTATAGGTCTTGCCAGAGTCAGCCTCCCAGTGAATTGGATATGATCTGATCTATTATATTATAAAAAACATATATACAATGTATGGGTATATATTTATATGTATTTATATATATACATATGTGAATCTTTTACTGCCAGCTGTCTCCAACTCTGTATGGAAGTTGGCAGAGAACAAAAATAATATACAAGCAAAAAGCTAACACTCTGCAGGGGGAAACAGAAGATTCTAATGCACAACAAACAACAATTCCTTGAAACCAATCTCATCTCTTCCTTCCACATTCAGAGATTCCAAGGAGCCTAACCCAAGCTACACACAATGCCCCCATTTGGTTCAATTCCAAGCCCATTTGATGACCCATGAGCCATGGCCAGTGCTTCTGTCCCTCTGTCATGCTACGGCACACAGAGAAAGATGCGTGCACAGCAAGAAAAATGCTGACCCAGAAGAAACTCGTCCAAGCCCTACTGCCCCAAGACCTAAGGGGAATCATTATTTTGATTTGCTTGTATCCCATTTGGAGCATACCAGTTGGGAATTCTCTCCCAACTTTATGAACCCACATGAACAAATACAAAAGATTCTTAGATGAAGTCTTTCACCTGGGAGTATATGCTGATTTTTCATAATTCAGAGTAATTCTGTAGTTTGCAGAGAATGACAATCTAGACCTGGAGGGGAAATTCCACTAGCCTGGTATTGTGCTATCTGACAGGGTTTAGGGCCAACTCTCTTGAATATTAACAGGGAGGGTGAGACCCTCCACTACTCTTAATCTTAGTAAAAACTGGGATATATCAACAACATAAAAGGATGGTGGCGGGAATTAAGTGAGATAATGTATATAAAATGCTTAGCTATTCATGCATAACAAATACAAGCTCCAGTTATCACTATTATTACTACTACCCTTCAGTGTGCTCTGGAAGCCAGAGCCGGGGGTGGAGAGATGATGCACTAACACATTTATGGGCCCAAAGAATCTTAACAATATCCTAGAAGTTGGACCCTGATAGGTAGGTCATTCCAACCACTGGAACAGCTTAGTACTATCCAAGAATGTATCAGAGCAGGTGGTATTGTTTGCTAGATGTGATAATGATGTCACATGTACCAAAGTATGGCTTTTCTCTGGCTATCATATCTGAGGTCTACTTTGTTCAAAGATGCACTTTTAAAATAAAATGGCCAATAAACCTCATGCCTACTGCAATTTCTGTCCTCTCTGTATTTTTTTCCCCAACTCAAGGCCTCCCAAAGATTGATAACCTTAGGGAAATGGAAGTAATTCAACATTTTTTGAGATGTTTCTTTTCTTATTCCATATCCTTTTTCTGTCTCAAGCCTTGTTTCTTCTTAGTGAAGACTTACTTGCTCTGAAATTGCTGAGCATTTCTGGGAGACTAAGGAAAAAGGTGGTGGACCTCCGATTCAACAAAATCAAACCAAATGCCTCCTTATCAGATTATTCAAATACACCCCAAAGAGAAGATCAATTTGACATTTTCTATTTAATACATCATGAACTGGTGTGTCAGTATCAAGGAAGATACAAAAGCTAGGTTTTGTACACTAGTGAATCCCAGGAAATTCAACTGTGTCCACTCTGGGTCCATCTTTTTGGTAAGCAAACATCCTGATTTGGATGTCAGAATGACTGAGGTAGAGGGCCCTTTCACCATCACCTACAGAAGGACTGTCTCACATACGCTTCTCATCCTCAGAAAGGATGCTGTCCTGTGAGCAGCTATTTCTTGACAAACCATACTGGCATCTAAGTGAATTATTAATAAGGTATACAAAATCAATGAAGAAAAAAATAATGCTAATGAAAAATGTTAATTGTTTTGTTTAAAAAATTGCCCCATTAAAAAGTTTGAAAAATAAAACATTGTTTTGTTGCTAGTACCCATGGCAAACTTCCTCATAATACTGAAGAAATTCCACAATTCTCTATATCTAGTTGACAACCAAAGAAAGGTACAATTGCCCCACCTTCCCAAATACGAATAATGGGTAATATTTCACGAGGCTTGCCATGTGCCCAACCTCTTAAGTATTTCACATGCATTATTTAATTTCATTCTCACATCAAATTTGAGTAGGAGGGATTATTATCTCCATTTACAAAGGAGGAAAGTGGTGCTCAGAGAAGTTTAGTCATTTACCCAAAGTCAGATAATTCAGAGTCATTCTGACTCCAAGCCTATTCTTTTAATTTCTGCATGATATTATATCCCATATACACATAAGATTCATATTTGCAACAAAATTAATACCTAAATATACTTTTTTTATATATTTTCC